GGAGACCCTGAGGAGAAACAAGGCACAGTATCATGAGAGTTGCAGACTTCTGTTCAACAACACAAAGTTAAATAGAGCTCAGAAAAGGCGAACCACTGCAGTTGTTACAGAGGAGAGCAGCAGTAGCAAGATACCACGAATGGTCAGAGACCCCAAAGCAACAGAATGCTTTCTATGTGAGGAAGAAGCTCCGGGAGATGACATAAGACATGCAATGACAATGAAACTTAATAAAAGACTGAATGATTGTGCGAAGACACTTAGCGATGGAACACTCCTTGCCAAACTAAGTGCAGGAGATGTTGTGGCACAAGAACCCTCGCTGCCTGGCAGACCTGTACGACCGAGAAAGAACACACCGAAATGCTCATGACTCATGAGCACAAGAGCTTCAGCCGAACAAGGACGCATACCCAACTGCTTTCTCTGAACTGGTCACTTACATCACTCAGATGAAAGCTTCTAGTGAAGGTACTGAACCACCCATTTTCAGACTTGCTGACCTGGTCACACTCTACAGACAGAGACTTGAGCAGCTGGGTGTTGGATCGCCCGATGTTCATGCTACTCGACTGAAGGACCAGCTGCTTTTTCACATCCCCCAGCTGGAAGCTCATCACCAAGGAAGAGATATCCTACTGGCCTTTGAGAAGGATGTTGGCTCAATCCTGGCACAAGCAAGCAAATACGGTGACGCGAACCATCTGGCCAAGGCTGCTGGGATGATACGACGGGACATGCTTCAGCACAAGTCACACTTCAGCAGTACACATCATGAAGGATGCATTGAACAGGCTGTTCCACCGTTACTGCTTCAATTTGTATGCATGATCGAACATGGTGCAGATATCAAATCCCAACTCCAGCATGGCGCATCGAAGTCTGACCTTGCTATGTCACAGCTCTTACAGCACAACTGCTTTGCCAATTACAAGGTAGGAACACAAATCCACAGACACTCCAAGGAGCCAGTCATCGGTGGATTCCAGTTCATGATGTAGTTTCTGCGATAGGGCCTTGGAAAGCTAGTGGGATACTATGCTTTCCTATACTGTCATGCTTTCACTCGCTGTGACGTTGTGTCTGGCTTCCGTGGGAAAGGAAAGAAATATGCATGGCATATATATGGCATCATCAGGTCTTAAATAGCGGAGGTAGGCGTGGCTTAATAGTTGACCTCCGTCATGTAAGGCGGCGCTGGTTGACCTAGACCACGAGGCATACACTGGGGAATTCGTGGGGTCGGCTACTCAGCGACAAGCGTTTTGTAGGGGAGGAATCCACTACAATACTCCCCCTTCCCTCCAGGCGGTGTAGGAGACTTGTTGTCTGCAGGGTTGCATGGCACATGTGAGGCAGAACGGGCGGTGCATGCCACATGTAGGACATAACGGCGAGGGCGTGGATGAGCCGGCCGCTAGGGGGGAGGGCAACTCTGCCTAGATACACGAGATCTGTGGGAGAAAAGAGGGAGAAGGAGGGTTGTGGAGGAGATGAATGTTGTGCTTCCCTCGCGACAGGTACAGAGTCCTCAGATGCACCTGCTGGGGTGTGTGGGCCTGGGTCAGGAGCAGGGGCTGTGTCAGCAGGAAGAAGGTCCATGACAGCAGCAGGGTGCATGACAGCAGCAGGGTCCACGACAGCAGCAGGGTGCAGGACAGTAGCAGGGGGTACCTGAGGGAAAAAAAAAAGGGTGTGTGGGGCCGCACTCAGGCGCATGGGCCGCGTCGGGAGCAGGGGCTGCCAGGCAGGAGCGGAGGAGGGTCCGCATCAGGAGGAGGGTCCAGGACAGTGGCAGGGGGTACTGCTGGGCCGGGGGCGGCGTCTGAGGCAGGACGGGTATGTTGGGGTCGGTAGGACGTGGTGCTTGGGGCAGGAAGAGGAGCGGCTGTCTACTTAGAGTAGCAGAGCTGCTCTAGGGTGTCTAACCTGCGGTGTAGAGACAGTAGCTGTAGAGCCGATGAGAGCTGCCTCTGTGTGGATAAGCCAGTCTTCCATGTTGCTTGAAGACTGGGAGAGTGATCGGTTTCTCCTCTATCCTGTGTGAGTGCGAATCTCCGGGGTCACCAATTGTGGGGTACGTGATGTTGGTTCACACTCAGGATGGGATGGAGAAAGGAAACTCTCAATGTGCTCTCTGCATACATGTTGCATTGGATGTACAATGCAGCTTGGTGCTGGGAAGTGGCAGCGTGGTTACAAGCGTGATGTGGAGAGAGCTGGTTGGTGAGGGTGCTCAGAGGGGGACCAGCTTGTGGGTCGCCATGCTCGCTGGCGAGAGCAAGGGCCGCCAGGCAGGAGTGGAGGAGGAGGTGTTGCTTACTGCGGCTGTACCTAGAAGAAGAGGTAGGTCGATACGATACGAAGTCTTTAGTTAAGAGGTGAAAGAAGATTATTAGGGGTTGAAGGAAAAGTGGTGAAACTGAAATACAGTAGGAGTAGAAAGAATCTGGGCTCAACCAGATCGCTTCATCTTTCTTATTGGTGTTTTGTCTTTGTTCTGCTCCCTTGGGTCGTCAGACCTTTGTATTAATATTGGTTTATTTATATAATGCTGCTTATTATTATTATTTTTATTATTGTTGGAGTTAGTGAGCCCGCCCAGGTCCTTGTGTAACTGGGAGGGTAGTCACATTTTTTTTTTTTTTTTTTGAGGTGTTAGTTAAGTGTTAGTTGTGTTAGTCTAAAGGTATTAGGAATCTTAGGAATCTTGAGTATAGAGACAGGTTAAAGCATCTTAATTTGCACTCCCTCGAGAGACGTAGAGCGAGGGGCGACCTGATAGAGGTGTATAAGTGGAAGACAGGGCTAAACAAAGGGGACATTACAAAGGTACTCAAATTATCCAACCAGGAGCGAACTCGTAGCAATGGTTTTAAATTAGACAAATTTAGATTTAGGCGTGAAATAGGTAAACACTGGTTTGGAAACAGAGTAGTGGATGAATGGAACAAGTTACCAAATATCATCATTAACTCGAATACGCTGAATTGCTTCAAACATAGGTTGGATGCTCATATGAGCAATAGGGGTTGGGTGTAAACGGGACTGCCCAGTATGGGCCAATAGGCCCGCTGCAGTTTCCTCCATTCTTATGTTCTTATGTTCTTACACTGTATGGAGAGGCCTGCCAGGTTCTTAGTGGAGCTGGTTGGTCACTCTCATCTTTATTCCTCTAGTAATGTTTTATGTAGAAATGTGTATATTGAGGCAGGAGGTGGTTCAATTACTTCTTCCTGGCTGATATAGCTGGGAGGGTAATCACATTATTATTATTATTATTATTATTATTATTATTTTTTTTTTTTTTTTTTTTTTTTTTTTTTTTTTTTTTTTTTTTTTTTTTTTTTTTTTTCTAAGATGTTAGTTCAATGTTAAATGTTAAATGTTAAATGTTAGTTATGTTAGTCTAAAGGTACACTGTATGGAGAGGCCTGCCAGGTTCTTGTGGAGCTGGTAGGTCACTCTCATCTTTTATTCTCTCTATTAATGTTTTATATGTATATTGGGGCAGGAGATGGTTCAATTACTTTCTTCCTGGCTGATTTAAACCAACTGTGTTCTTGGAATTCTTCGTTGTCTATATTATTTATCCAGTTTTGATATGTTTCTGTGTTAAGTTCAGTCACTTTTTTCCAAATATTTACAGCTTTGTTGTGTATATTCTACATTGATTGCTAAGAGGTTTGCTCTCTTGTGTAGCTGTTCATTATTGATGTGGTCTGTATATTTTATGTTATATATAAATCTGAGGGCTATATTTTGTACTGTTTGTAACCTTTTAATGCACGTTTTACTAAGGGTGTTCAATGGGATGGGTGGGTAGTCCATAATTGATTTGACAAGGGCAATATAAATCTTTCTTTTGTTATTAATGCTAAGGTTCTTAAAGCGTTTTATTTTTGATAATCTTATTCTTGCCTGTCGTTCTTTATCTTTTAAGTATGTTATATATCCTCTTTTTGTTAGTTTTAATCCAAGCATCCTACCTTCAGTGTCGTATGGGTATAGTTCCTGGTCGACTATTACTGGACTTGTTTTAATCTTGGCTATTGGTATTATCTTGAATTTGTTCTTATTTGTCCTGATTTTCCATTTTTTCTCAAAATCATTTATGTTTTTTATCGCTCTTACCGTGTAGAGTGCCATAAATTGAGTTGATTTTCCTGGGTATGATACTATTTGAGTAATATCATCAGCAAACATTACATATTCGCTAAAGGGGGTAGGTTGAGGTGTGTCTGAAGTATAAATTGTATATAGTGTTGGAGAAAGGCATCCTCCTTGAGGTACTCCACTCTCAAGATTAAACATAGTTCCCATAAAGTTTCCAATTTGAATTTGTACTCTCCTATCATCTAAATAGTTACACAATATTCTTAGCAAGTATTCGTAGGTCACCACGAGGTCAGGTCTTATATAGCGGAGGTAGGCGTGGCTTAATAGTTGACCTTTGTCATGTAAGGCGGCGCTGGTTGACCTAGACCATGAGGCATACACTGGGGAATTCGCGGGGTCGGCTACTCAGCGACAAGCGTTTGTAGGGGAGGAATCCACTACAAGCTCTTTCAAGACCAAATTTAACCAACTCAAATACATTCAGGAGCCAGTGCATGCCTCTGAAGGGGTCTTGAATAAAGACGAAAGCTAAGGTGCTCCAGTGTTTCCCTTTTCCTGTGTGATTTTATCTAGATTTATCCTGTCCACTTTTCCATTGTGGATCTACATGATATATATATATATATATATATATATATATATATATATATATATATATATATATATATATATATATATATATATATATATATATATATATATATATATATATATATGCAAGTAAATCACTGTAGGTGCGCGTGATCTAGGTATATGCTGATAACTACAAGGAAAGAAGAAAACATGGAGTTCCCAAGCGCTTTCGTGTAATTCACATCTTGAGGGGTGAGTACAGGTGTTTTCTTCTTTCCTTGAGGTTATCAGCATATACCTACAGTAGATCACGCGCACCTACAGTGTGAGAGGCGCACCCCGCTGCGTGTGTCAGCTGGCGAAGGTAAACAACAAACAGACGACTCAGAGATGGCGGCTGTCATTGCCAAGCCCATCTTGTTCCTCGAGGAAAATCAATGTATGACTTACATATTGTATCTTATGATTGTTAATTATTGTAGTTATTGGATAAAGTTAATGTGTGTTTATGTGGTAGTGTTTTAAGAAGAGTGATGTTCGTTATTTAGGTGTTCTGTGCGTTATGTTGTGATTTGGTGACAGACTTACAGACGTAAACAAGCATCCATTATTGTAATAATATTTGCAGCAAATTTTCGTTTAGGTCTTTCAATTTTACATATTCTTTAAGACAAAAAGGGGTAAATATTTAGAAGTTGCCAACACCTTATATATTGAGTCTTATATAGGGAGAAGGCTAACACCAGAAGTTGTTCGATTTCGTTTTTTTTTCCATATGTTCTTATCATTATGTTGAGTATTTTAAAAGAGGCGACAGTTTTTCTTTTAATTATAATTTTTTTTTTTTTTAGTTTTTCTTATCTACGATCATAAATTACCCTTAGTGGGCAGGGCATGAAGTAGAGGGAAGTTGCTAGGTAAACGGGGTAAAGCATGGTAAAAAGTTGATCATATTATACTAAAATGAGGTCTCTACATGCCTTATACTTGAAGACATTGGTAAATTTCCATTCGTCACCCTGTATGTGTTTTTAAGAAAAAAGTATGTTTTTCTGATAATTTAGACAATGAAGTTTCACAAATGACCTAAACTTACCTAACCTAACCAGAGGGCTCTGGCCCCTTGGATCCCCAGGTACATGACTTAAATGTCATTTGTGAGGGAAACGTCGTAGAAGAAAAGTGGGCTAATACAACTGGTGACCGTCAGCGGTTCAGTAATTATTTTTTTTTTTTTACAGTTTTGTAGGCTGATTACTTTCATTCTATTCATTTTCTGGAGCAAATGCAGTTTTCGAGATATAGGCGAATTGAGATTGCATCTTAGCATCTTACAGTCGTCATCTGCAGTGATGTGGCCAATGTAAAAATGTACCGTGGCCATCAGTGTTTTGGTAAATATGTGGGACGTGGCCGTCAGCCATTCGGTAATTATGAGGGTGTTCTTAGACACAGTTTTGTATGCTGATTACTTTGTTCTATTCATTTTATTGTATAATTTTATTTTTTTACGGGGGATTAACCCACCTGGGCACTGGTCACTGACCCACATCGGGTCCTGGGGGGCGAAAATGTAATAATAGTAATAATAATAATAATTATAATAAAAATAATAATTCAGATGAGTAAAATTTAAAAAAAAATACAAAAATAAAAATAATAGAATAATAATGATAACTAATAATAATAATTACACTGCAATAATAATAATAATAAAGAACCATAAAGAAATAAAATAAAAAAAGATCAAGAGTGAGAAACAATATATGTATGTTGTATTGTCAATGTTAAGGGATACAATTGAGACCCTGCAATTGTGTGTAAATGAGGCAGAAAGTCAGATCAGCAACCTGGGACTTGGTCACAATTTTCGGAATGCCTTTTGGCAGCAGGGTCTACCATTAGACAACACATTATGTTTCCAATATCTTCCCAGGCAGTAGTACCTCCCTGTTTGGAAGCTGCTTATCTACCTACTACAGTACCTACAAAATGTCATGGTGTAATTTTACGTTTCTTGTGGATTGAGCTGGTCAGTTGTAAACAGACTGAGCAGACGGCAACATGCACTGACTTTGCAGATTTTTCGGAGGAGTATTTACAGTAAATAATTAATTTCTTGGTATTATTGCATAAGTCACCCAGTACAGAGTTGGTTAAGATATAGGTTAGGTTTGGTTAGGTTAGCACAGGATTTCAGCCATTTTTTAAAAAATTCTGGCACAATACACTATACCCTTATAAAATCAGTGAAACCTGGGTATTTTTAATCCCATTTTCAATGAAAAACAGCGGATGGTAATTATCCGAATAATTACCAGTGCCTCAGAATTGTCTGAACTATTGAATGCACATACCAAATTTCCTGAACCCTGTACTGGGTGACTTAAGCAATAATACCAAGAAATTAATTATTTACTGTAAATACTCCTCCGAAAAATCTGCAAAGTCAGTGCATGTTGCCGTCTGCTCAGTTTGTTTACAACTGACCCGCTCAATCCACAAGAAACGTAAAATTACACCATGACATTTCAACAACTTTGTTTTCATTGGTACCAGGTATCAAATTAAGTATTTTCTGTTTAATATGATGGGGGATCTGCCCCTCCTGGCTAGGAAGTTAAGTCAGATGAGGTATAGGTTTCTTTGGTTGGTTAGGTCAGGTTGTATTAGGTTCTAGTAAATACTGTGTTGTCTCTTTTAAAATACTTACTTTATTGATGAGAACATCTGTGAAAAAATTTAATGTAAATGAACAACTCCTGGTGTTAACCATCTCCCGGATTACCAACAAAACAAGCTTGGCTTCACTTGCATCAGCATTTTATAGCTTAATATGAAGATCGTTTGATACAGTATAATCTTTGGTAAAGATTCGTTTATGCACCAACGCTATTTTTAATGAAAAACATATTTTTCTGATGTTTTTTTGTGCTTTCTTCAAAAACTACCTTCATTTCCTTGGGAAACTAGTAGTTTTGAAGAAAATTACAGTTTTGAAATTCCCCCAAAACTACTAGTTTTCCATGGAGACAAAGGTCAAATTTGGCAGAAAGCTGTCTGCGAGGGGAACAGAGCTTACTCAGCTGTGAAAGGCGTGTGGCACATGGCATATTTTTTTTCCCTCCCCAAAAAAATTTATGCGATTTTCATCAAAATAATAATTTTCCAGGAGGGTTGGAGGTTAGTTGAGGATTGTAAATAGATAGTGTGTCCTAGGAGGCAAGTGCATTAAACGAATCTTAACCTAATCTCTTAACAAACAACTTACACAAACATCTTCTTTGTGGTGAAATTTTTGCACTAATGAGGGAATGATGGATGAGGGTGACAGATGGATGCCACTGATATTTTTTTTTGGACTATTATGAGAATATTTTCATTTATACAATGTAAGTTCACGAGGAGAGAAGAAAATCATCCATGTGAGCTTAGGTACTGGATACTGTGTAGTAAACAGACTACCATTACACATCTGCTCTTTTACCATGAAGTTTGTATAAAACCAACCAAACCTAACTTCTGTAATAGTTAAGACTAATTGCACTCTTTAATTACCTACCGTACAACATTTCACCACAAGGGATAAATGCTTTCTTACCTCATGTAATTGACAAAATGCATGAGCAATACGTTTTGTGTAATAATTTTTACACTTTTACGTCTCATCTGCGGAGAGGTCTCCAAAATTTACCAGCCATGGCCACCAAGTTTGTTATAAATCTTGGCAATGGTTCTTTTCATATATTTTTTTTTTAGAATACAGGAAAACGATACAATTTAACTAGTAGTTAAGGCTTGGTTGGGTTTCATAGATTAGGTTCTGTAGTTAGTTTGATTCATCTTATGCGCTATAAATTATCGGTCCGACTAATTACCCAAATGTAGCAAAATGTAGCCGCAAGGAAGTCAAATAATGGTCCTACATGAATAAATCGGACTGCTAATCACTTCTCGACTAGTATTTGGTGTCACAAAGTCACAAAAAATTGGAAATCTTACTTTAATCTGAGTTAATAGATCGCGTGCATGTACCGAGGGAGCGAGTAATTACTCAAATGTACCCAAATGTACCCAAATGTAGCCGCAATGAAGTCAAATGATGGTCCTACAAGCGTAAATCGGGCTGTGAATCACTTCTCGATTATTATTTGGTGTCATAAAGTCACAAAAAATTGGTAAACTTAATTTAATCTGAGTTGTGTTGTGTTAGGTTAGGTACATGCACTCGATATATTAACTCAGATTAAATTAAGTTTACCAATTTTTTGTGACTTCGTGACACCAAATACCAGTCGAGAAGTGATTGGCAGTCCGATTTATTCATGTAGGACCATTATTTGACTTCATTGCGGCTACATTTGGGTACATTTGGGTAATTAGTCGGACCCATAAATTATTGATAATCCCTCTTGGCCACTCCTGGCAACTGCTAACATTCATGAAGTAACAGATACTGTTAATATCTATGGTAAAGATTTGTTAGTGACCATAATAGAAAATTAATAACCAAAATAGGTTTTTCTTTTGTTTTTCATGGTGATTTTAAAGTATAACCTTTACTTTCATCACTGATGTAATTTTATGGAGATGCAACAGTGATTTGCAGAAAGTGGGTGGGGCTTTGAGGATGAGGGGAAATTTGGGGTTAAAACGTGAAAAAGTCTCCAGTCAAACCTTTGAGAACCTGATTTCACCTATAATAAGTCCTAATGTCACAAAAAAAACTTGCCTTATTTAACCGATGTAGTAACATTAAGTGATTCTCTTCTTTTTTGTGTGTGTTTTCAGTGTTTTCATCACAAGGAAGCCATAACGTGAATGTACAATATAGGTCTAGATGAAATTCTCTCAAGAGTAAAAGTACTATCCTCTGATTAGTCAAAGGTGATCATGATAAGCTCACATGAATGAGAATTGAATATAATATCCAGCGAATATGCCTTTGGTAAACTTAATATCCATTAGTGTTGTTGTAACCTGATCCTCTCTATATCATGTACCTACAGAAGAAGTAAACACTTTCTTCAAATCACTATTGTATCTCCATAAAACTGTTCACACACAATCACTTTATGCTCCTCTATCGGTTAAATAAGGTAAGATTTGGTAAAAATGTGTATTTTAGGTCAGGAGAGGTTACCTGGTAGGTCAGGTTCTCAAAGGTTTGATTGGTGTTTAATTAGTGTTTAACCCCACATTTTCCTTCATCTTCAAAGCTCTGTCCACTTTGTAAGAAACCACTGTCATGTTAGATTGTGATTACAAGAGTACTGTACTGTGCTGGTTCACACCAATAATATCCACTTTCTATATGCATGGGTATTACTTGTTCCTATGAATTAGCAATAAGGTGCTGTTTCCCTTTTCCATCTTTATTTCTTGTCTGGTTGTTTTACTCTCTTGAAAACAAGCTGTTTTACCTTCTAAATTTAATATATTTGACATCTTCATTTTATATTACAGTACTGTACTGTACTCATTCACTCACTCTTTACAAGTAATGGTGTCAGTATATTTTTGCATATTTTAGGATTTTGCATATGCCCTGTACTGTACTGTGTTGGTGGTACAGCAGTAATTCTTGTGTCTCTCACCAGTATGTCAAGGGTTTGAGTCTCGCTTGGCCCAGACACACATGAAAAGGTTGTTATCCAGTGTGACCTTACCAAACATCGCAGGTTTCCCGGACTCCGGTTTCCTTCTGTACTAACACTGGATAAAACAATCGCCCAATTGGGCAGTAAGCTGATAAGTGATGAAAATGAAAAAAAAAATAATTATTTCCAGATTCCAACTTTGAGTGGATTGGTGAGAGTGAAGATGGGTCACTACTGTGTCGCTGGGAGGAGGAGGTGCTGGTGCGGGGTCCTGTAGATGGCTCAGCTGGAGATGGAGGGCCTGAGGGGGCAACAAGCTCCCTTGCCTTTGCTACACAGATTGCCATATCTACTCCAGACCTCCACTCTGCCCAGGTTAACCCAAATTTTATATTCTAAATATAGTTTTCTTATTGTTAATATTATTATTCATATAGAATATGTACACTCATGAAAAGATTATTCTGCACCTTTATTGGGTTATACAAAATGACACACCGGACCAAGAAATCTGATAACACTCATCACGGCTTCTGTCGCAGTGATCATTGTGGATGGTTTCAGAGCCAAGGGTGCAGAGTAATTTGTTTAGAGAGTGTACAGTACCGTAGTTCTCTTTATTCATGTGGTACAGTGGAGTTTTGACAATTCACAGGTTCTGGTACATAACATCACAAATTATTATGAAATCGCAAATTGCAGATTAATTGATTTAAATGGAAATAATTAGTTTGATTCGAGAGGTAAAGAAGGACGTACGCATAAGCTGTTCCAAAACTGTTTTACTAAACATCATGCATAATGCATAAAAAATACAGTCACACATACTGGTAGAAATTGTACAAAAAGTAGTTCTGTATTACAAAAAAAAACTGCTTTCCTTCTCATAATTTCATGCGGGTTATGCCAATACACCAACATGGAGACATTGTGGCGCCAGGCTGGCTGTGACCACTCTGTGTCAACAAAGAACCAGGAATTTAATACTGTATCACACAATAACTCATCTGGGGTTGAGTGTGGATATTTTTTTTATGTTACTTTACAATAATGTTTTATTAGCGACACCAAATTAATCTAAATAATACAGTATACAGTAAACCCTTGTTGTTTGCAGGGGTTAGGTTCAAAGAAATGGCGTGAATTGGCAAAACCGTGAATAGCAACTTATACAGTGGGGTATGCTATAACGAACGGATCCTACTACGAATATTCCTATAACGAACGGTTTTACCTATAAAATTGAGACTGCTATAACGAACGAAACTCCTACAACGAACATTATTTAAAAAAAAAAATTTTTTTTTTTTTTTTTTTTTACTAATTTATTGTTTTTTTATTACAAATATTAATGATATTCTTTATTTCAGGGGTTTAGATGCATATTTATGCACTTTTTTACAATTTTTACAATTTGATATTACATTTTTCAGTGTTAAGTGGTTGTATTTGGTGGCCTGGAACGGATTAATCCTATAACGAACGAATGCTATAACGAACAAGGTTCTAGAACCAATTAGATTCATTATAGCATACCCCACTGTACTACCTTAGTGCACTACTGTATACCTATACCAAACAACTGACCAGCCACAGCAGCACTCATCCCCTCCTTTAACTTATCTAATAATAAAACTTTCTTTGTCAGGGTCATCACTGACTTCTGCCTTTTACATTTCACTCCACTAGCACTGAAGCTAAGCAGCCCTTTAAGGGCCATTTCACACAGAAACACTAAAGTTTTGAGAGTACAACACGGGGTGCTGCATGGGGTGACTAGTTGTGCTGCAGGAAAAGGCTCACAAGCTAGCCATCATCTACTTACAGCGAATCATCCAAATTGCGAATCGCAAACCCGCGAATGGCAAGGGTCTTCTGTATATATATCAGACTTTTTCCAAAATCATAAGGATTTGTTCTGTCAGTAGCTCTTGTCTGATGAGAGCCAGATTCTGAAATACTGGAGCCCAAAATTGTAGCAGTTTACTGGATGACAAATACTACTAATGTAAGATGAGAATTATCCATTTCATATAAATAGTCAGTGTTTATAGTACTGTAGGTGCCAATAACAGAACAACATGATCAATATTATTTTATTTTAAGTACCGTATTGAATACTTGAAAGTACAGTAGTTATTAATGACTGAACTGTTGTGACATGAACTAATTTATAATTTAGGCACCTAATGTTTGGGAATAGCTGATATGTTTCTCATACTGGGACATAAAGAAATAATAATTTCCCCAAAGATTTTATGAAGATTTTCCATATTACACACTGCTTTCAAAACTACAAGTGTTGTGTTTGGTACAGATAGGTAAATTAGAATATAATCTATTAACCTTGTATGATATGCACTGTAGTGGGATTCAGGTTTTCCAGACTACCAACAGTGGCTTCAGTAGTTCCTCTAAATTAAAACAGCATGCAACTCTTTTCTCCATAACAGGTCTTATACACATTTGATAAGGTTGTACCTGTGGTCCAAGCCACAGTCAATGCTTCCAGGACTCTGCTAGGTAAATCTTGGTATTTGGTAACCCTTCCCTTGTAGCTGTTTGTTGCTGTTTTGTTTTCTCTAGTGTGCTGCTTTTCATTTGAGTGTAAATGTGTAATGACTGCAACAGGAATATTGACTTAGCTGAATAAAATAATCAACTTGTAAAAAATAAATTTTTCAAAGGCCAAGTGAGTTTTGCAAGAAACCTGTGAGATGTACTATTGCCAAGTACAGGAACACCTTGCTATTCACAACCCCGATACTGTATTTGTAATCTCGCTTATCCGCAATTGATATTTTAACATCCCTATTTGATATTTGGCAAGCATACCCCACTTACTCGCAAATGAAAAATTATGATACCCTACAGTAATATTTCAAACTGGGCAAGCTGGCCGCACCTCTCATATTCCGATGTAAGGCCCACTTCACATGAGCATTATTTTTATTTAGTGCATATGGATCCACATGGCTTAGAAATTAATTTAGTTCAATGGGTCTGTTCGCATGGAGCACATTTTTTCTTTTCTTTTGTTCATTAGTACGTACAGTATAATTTTTATTTACTCGTCATATTCACTGGTACAGTACTACAGTACAGTACAGTACAGTTAGTATGTATATACTCGTGACCCTGGTCCCTAATAGTCTCGGATAATGAGGAGTGTACAGTACATTATATAAAAAAAATATATGTTGTGAAAGTTGTCAGCTGGGAACACATTGCCCCAATAGTATTTGCAAATTCATTATTCACATTGTGATAACGGGTATTTCTGTATTGTATCTCATAGGTAGAATGTGCAATTGCTTTTAAGGTGTACAATGCTTAACAGTTGGGACACTTTCTTAGTGGACAGAATGGTTATAAGGGGTGAATGCATTATTGCCTTCCCACCCAACAAATTTGTACATCATCATGTAACAACCATTTTCCACACTTGAGCGGGTTAGGCATGGTTACGTGATGACAGCTTTCAATGCTGCATGGTTTCTTGTGGTCTCTGTTGTCTAGTTCTTACAACCTCTCCCTCTTCCAGTTGGGCTAAGCAGATCAGAAACAGTAAGTAATATTAATTTGCCTGAACCTTCTCAGACTACCCAGAACAACGTACTCTAGTGTGTTGCTATTGTTTTAAATTTTAACCCACATGTCTTTTGTCTATTAAATGATGTGTTCAGTGTCAAATCCATTTCTGAAAGTTGACAATTGTTGATGTGCTGAATTTTACAAAAAAAGGATTGGATTCTTTGCCGACTTTCACATTTACATAAAGTACCTGTATACAGTATTTGTTCTATTATTTGCTGGGCACAATCTGATTGTGCTTGACTTAGGCAATCAGATTGGAGGATGAAGAATCAGTTACTCGGTGATGATTCAGAGCTCAATCTTTCCTCTGAATAAACTCTGGATTGGGTCAAGATTTAGTGTCCCACTGACAAACATTATACAGTACTGTACAGTAGTACATCTTATGGGTAACAGCAGGTTCTGTCTGTGAGAAGGTAGGGAGTGGTATGTCTAATACTTCTCTTGCTCACCACCTCAATCAAGCAATTGGGTTTCTTAATTTACATACATATAATTTTTTTTTTTTTTTGGCATTTAGATATGGTATTATGAAAGAAGTACATGTACTTGTCTTTCTTCATATTGATGAAATTAGAATAAATGAAACAATTTGAGAAAAGGTCATTGAAATCTACTTATTTTCTGTCAAGCTAAAGTGGGGAAATAATTTTTTATAAATGGCCAAATTGGAAGTGTTTCTGTATATAAAAGTCAAGGTTTTTTTTAACATTTTCAAGATCTGAAGATGAATTATACATTACAGTATACAGTATTTACTTTATGTAAGGAGAAGTATTTAATTTTTTTTTTGGGGATTAGCCCACCCGGGCACAGGTCACCGACCCACATCGGGGCCTGGGGGGCGAAAATGTAATAGTAATAATAATATAATTATATTAATAATAATAATATTTATTCATAATAAATAAATTTTAAAATAAAATACTAAATTAATAATGATAATAATACTGTAATCATAATAACATTGTAATAATAATAATAATAATAAATAAATACAAAAATCTAAAAAAGATCAAAAGTGAGAAACAATATACAGTACAGGGGGTATGTACTGTATGTTGTGTTGTCAAAGTAAGAGAAACAATTTAGACCCTGCAATTGTGTGTAAATGAGGCAGAAAGTCAGATCAGCAACCTGGGACTTGGTCACAATTTTTTGTGATGCCATATGGCAGCAGGGTCTACCATTAGACAACACATTATGCTTCCAATATCTTCCCAGGTGGTAGTACCTCCCTGTTTGGTAGCTGCCTACTACCTAGATCTATATTGTATTATATTTTTTGTGTTCAGAGTGTAGGTAAGTGCGCCTAAGGTAGTCTTGCTGTGTTGTGCTATGGTCACTTTTACGTCTTTTGTTTGCTTGTGTGTTTACTTTTTGCCTTGAAATCTTTTTATCTTTCTTGGTCTTATTTTTTTAGAATGTTTTATGACATCAGTAACAGTGTATCAAAAAAATTTCCTCATTGAATTGTACCATTGAGTGTCATTACTAAGACTTCCTCTTACAAAAGTTGAGGATATGAGCAAGTATGTGTAGGTGTTTGTGTCTTAACCTGTTTCTGTTGCTTTCATTACTTGTTTTTGCATTAGTTTCCCTCTATCATTTATCTTTCCTTCTTTGTTGTGTCTGTACCCCCTGCTCCACAGCATACAGACATGAAAGAGGTGTCAAGTTGATAAGTAATTAGTTACAGATAAGTTGTGTGTCCTTTTTTTGTGCTTTACTGTATAGCATTGTATATTTGTATATATTATTGATACAAGGTGTATCATTGTATTGCTTCTCCATTACGAATTTTTAACATCTTGATAGATATACAAGTTTTATTTAATTCCATATAAAGTAATGCATACCGGTAGTTCATAAGTATTTGTAAGTAGTGTTGGTATCACCTCACAATGTTGCAGGTTTTGTGACTCGTCGCAGTGTGAACGAGGGTAATAAATATGCAGCTTACGTGGCAGAAATTTCACCCCAGGGAGGCGTTTTTTCACTGAACATTGATTGTTCCAGACAGATACTCGTAAGTAACCTTTTAGTTCATAAAAATTTCCTACCAGACAGCAAATGAGACCACTCATAATTTTAGTCTTTGTTGATACCTAAAGATTACCCCCCTCCCCCAGATACAGTAGTTTCAGGCTGGTTATGCTGGGGGAGGGGGGGTGGCGTCAGGTGAGCTCTGGTGGGCTGATCTTCATGTGATTCATGAAAGCAAAAATTTCGAATGGTCTCGTTTCTAGCCTCAATACACCACAGTTCACTGTTTCATTCCTCCTGTACCTCTCCCTAGATATAGGCAGTCCCCAACTTAAGAACACCTGCACTTCATGAATGGGATCCCAATACATTCATCACAAAATCTCTAAATTACAATCCCATTTTCTCATTACTCTATATTGTTTAATATCACTTTGTTTTCAGTGTTTACTTTATTTGTTAGGTATGGGGTATTATTGTTTGTTTGTATGGATAGGGTTGTGCTTTAACCTAAGCTAAGCTATGGAATTAACAATGTTCTGACTTATGAAAAAATCCACTTTCGAACAGGGTCCAGGAACATAATCCATTGGTAAGTCAAGGAATGCCTGTAGTATTCATAATCTTACATTTATTTAAGTTTTCTCTTTTTGTTATTTTTTATATTTCTTTGTTTAATTTTTGTAATGTTTTTTATTATATTTGTTCAGGACTTTCACCATATAGTTAATAATGTATTCCAACTTTCTGATGTACAGTCTTTGTGCCTCGGAGAAGAATAAATTTCTTAAAAGTAATACAGTATACATAATTTTAAGCTACATATCCTCAAGTGTCAACAGTTCTCAACATAATTGGGCTCATAAATTATTGACATGATCAAATACACATAAATCCTCAACATGATTGGACATATAAGTTGTCAAAGTGATTGCACACATATGAATTCTAGATGTGATTGGACTCAGAAATTATTGACATAATCGGACACATAAATTCTTGATGTTATCAGAAACACATGAATTCTTGACAAGGTGTAAGGGGGTTTAATTTATGCAATGCCTAGTTATGCATTAGATACATAATCTGCCTTATACATTGACTAACTAAATTTCACACAAAAAATAATCTTTAATTTTTACTCTATATACAGTATGTATAGGTAGTATTTCATGTTCTGAATAAGGCGAGGAAACATTAGTTTTATTGTTAATTTTTTTCAGCTTGAATTCCTCCACACAGAAGAAAGTGGAAAGCCACAAGACAGCTGGATTGCCAAACTTCTTGTCTTTGTGCACAGAGAATGTGAGTACAATACTATATACAGGTGATGAAGATACTGTACTGGAAATAAGCATCTGATGGCTCTGTTGGCTTTCCTTGGTCAAATTGCTTTACTGTTTATTAATGTTGTACAGTATACCAGCACCGACTAGTTACAGGTGCTTACTTTGGAAACTACTTTATTGTTATCTGTACAATGTGAATATCAAGTTCTTTGTGTTAAGGATGTTGTCAAGTTACTGAGGGCTTGAAACAATTACAGGTTTTCATGATTTTTTTTTATTGAAACATAAACATAATAAAAGAAAGCAAAATCCAACAGGAACAAAATAACAACCAATGCAAATACTGAAACACTGAAATGCCACAAAGGTGCCCCACAACACTGAGTTACCAACCTGATAATAAGCTGCCCAGACTAACAGTCAACATTTAAATTAAGTAGGTGAAGTCCACTTGGCTTGGAGGGGTGGATGATGGTAACAGTGAGGTTCACTTTAGCCTGGGAGAGGTATATGAGGGTAACAGTGAAGACAAACTTGACCATCATGAGTAGATAGCAGTAGCAGTGAATTTCTCAACACTTGAGGGGTAGGTAGAGACAGTGGTGGGGCTTGAGTCAGCCAGCATGAGTCACTCATCTGACCTTAGGATGCCTCTCTGCAGTCTGCCCAGCCCTTGATTAAAGTAGAGTACTTAACCCCTTGTGTACTGGTTCCTTTCTGGGCTGAATAAAATGGTCTGGCATTAGCCAAATTAAATTTTAAAAGTGGCACAATCATCTGTCAGCCTGCCAACAATAATCTCATTCAATGGATAATACATAACTTCAAAATAAGTAACACCCTACACCAAAATCCACTTACAAAATTAGGAAGAGGAGTCCTCACCTGGAAGATGCCTGTGAATAGACTGACCACACACCTGACCAGTTAGCCCAAGTAAACCACCACAAACCAAATGAAGCCCTGAACCCAACTCAAAAGGAACAAGATGTCAGTAGCGAGTTCACATGACTCAAACAAATTTTTTCATAGTGTTAAACAAAGTAAAATATTTTGTTAGTATACCGTACTTCAAAAACTATTTCAACACTATGAAAGAATAAAAAAACAACAAGTGAAGGGAAAATACATGTGTGTGTGTGCGTGTGCATGCTAGTGATTAATGCCACCTTGCCTTATAGAGGGACGGGGAAGAGGTGAAAAGATTTTGGGAGAAGGAATCCATATTACGAGACTGTTCGTCACAACTGGACTGGTAATAAAAAAACTTTAGATAATGTCTCCTGTAACTTAACAAAGTATCATGCTGGAGGCACAGTAGTAGTAATCCAGAAGTCCTGTGCTAAAGCTTCTCATGCATTCATCTCTGTAAATTCTCAACTTAAAAAAATTGGGTCAAATATACAGATAAGTAGGTACACTCGCAACAAAAAGTATCGGTGCATACTGTAGTGTGAACAATTTGAGACCAGTGACGATAGGTTTTGGGAAAGGTGAGGTGTTCCAGCCGTATGTTGGCAGCCCTGTAATCCTGCTGAGCTGCATCACAAGCAGATACTATGGCCTGATCAAGTGAAACAAACCGTTATAAATAAGGTCGGGAAGTGATAAATAGACAGTATGAAATATGAGGAGCTCCCTGTTAACAAAATTATTTGTGATACTTGTGAATATTGCCACATTAATTTATGCTACCAAATAAACCACTCAACCTGGTCGTCCTGAGGGGTGGTGCAGCGTGGACGGCCGCTCCGAGACCTGTCGTCTGTAGCACCAGTTTCGAGGTACCGCCTAATCCATAGTGCAGAGGTGTTCTTGTGGACACCAACCCGCCGGCTAATATCTGTGACGCCGAACCCTTAGTTATGAAGGGCAATAATAGCTCCTCGTGTTCCCTCTGATGTTTCCATGTCGTCTGGCATGTGTAGATCTCTACTGCTTCATATTGCCTCCGTTTTATACCCACGTTCACCGAGACCAAACCCTCGCTCATCATTCAGTCGACACAAAGCAACAATCCGAAAAGAGGAAACAAACTCACTGATTGTCAGCCATGTGGCAACACCTAGTGGAGGGGGGGGATTATGAGGATACACTTACCAACCTTCCCGACATATCACAGTGTATACGTATCGTTTCGGAAGTCGTCGATCTCACCCTGCACCGATACTTTTTGGTGCAAGTGTACCTGTAGCTGTGTATTCTATAAAATCGTAAAACAAGTTCACATTGATTTAGCATGTATAGACGGTGCAAGTAGATATTGTACAGAGACAGTGCCGGCAAAAACGGGTAAGAAGGTAAGTTGACAGACCACGAAAGTCACTATAAACTTATTTACGCTAGGGTCCTTTATTAAACATTTATCAACCTTAGGGCAAAATAATTTCATTTGGTGTTTCACTGTTGCTTCATATCAGCCATCAGCTGCACTTCATCCTCAACACTCACTCTACATCATGCTCTCTGCTCAGTCATGTACCCCATCCATCCTTCACCCCCATCCCTCCATCTCATTCCATCCTTTACCCCATCCTTCAATCTCATTCCATCCTTCACCTCAACCTTTCATCCTTTGCCCCATCATTCCTTCCTTTACGTTCATTCCATCCTTCACTCCATCCTTGCATCTTATTCTTTTTTTTCCTCTTCCTTCCATCAGCCTCTAATTATCACATCCTTTATTTACCAGTCTCTCTCTTCCCACTTTCTCTGTCTGTTCACATCTAGATATACCCTGATCCACTCCTTGTCCAGCATACGTCCCACATCCACATCTTCTTTGTGTAGTTCCCTGTTCACACCACATATTGTTCTCACATCTCCTTGTCTCTGTAGTTCCTCTTCACACCACATATTGTTCTCAACTATATACATTTTTTCCCCTAATTGGCTTCTTCCCTTTTCACCCAGAGTCCATGTTCCACACACCCATATAATGATGTTGGCTCAGTGATTCCCCTGTACATTCTTTGTTTCCTTTGGGTATGATTTTCTCCTTATATTTTTATCAGTGCATTTATTACTTTGTCTCAATGTTTCATATGCTGACACTTCGCAGGTATCTTAAACACTTCATATTCATTTCCTGTTGTTGTACATGTACTTCATTACTTACCAATATTTTCATTCACTTGTTTTTATTTTCAATTTTTTCCACTAAATTTTGGCATTCCATTAGATACTACTGTGTACTGAAATATAGAATTATGTGAAGATTAGTCACCCCATGTTAATTCACCTGATGATTAAACACTCTAATGCTAACCTAACGGAACCACACCTAATCTAACCTAGCCTAATCTGAACCCCCAGTTAGTTTAAAAGATTGTTTTAATCATCAGGTGAAATAAACTGGGTACATAATCTATCTGTGTTCTAAAACATCATATTCTGTGCAGACTATGTCAATTTCTATTAAGTAGGGGACTGAAGAAACTGCTAGAGCCAGTGTTATGTGTTTTACGTATTCTGATATATTTAATGACTGTGTTGCAGCCATCGCCATCTATTCATTTCCTCTGAGCCTGAAAGACGGACCATCGTGGGTTGTTGATGACCAGCCCCTCACAGAGTCAGTTGTGCGGTCATTTGTGTGGGCTCAGTGGGAACCTCGACACAACCACCTCTATTACCTACACTACCGCCCTCCCCCTGAAGCTGGTCTAACCCTTGGGTCAAGTAAGTCTTGTCTCCTTTGTCTCGGATTTTTAATGTTTTTATGGCTTATCCCGATCACCTGAAGACTCACCCCCGGCATATTTCACCTGACAATTAAACACCCTAATGCTACTTGAGGGGTTAGGTGAGGTTAGAGTATATTAAGTTAGGTTATGCCATTATGTTCGGTTTGGTTAGGTAAGGTTATATTTATATTATATTAGGTTAGGTTTGGTTAAGTTATATTACAGTATGTTAGGTTATCTTATGTGAGGTTAGTGAATGTTAGGTTTGGTTAGATTAGGTTAGGTTAGATTACAAAGAGAGACTATGAAATCAAAATAACAAGAGAATCCAAGGCAAATCCCAAGGGATTTTTCCAGGTATACAGAACAAAGGTCAAGGACAAAGTTGGGAAAATCTTGTCTAACAAATCTGCTGACGTTTTTTAGGAAAGTCTTCGAGGTAGTAGATAATGACGAAAATTACTATGTTATTTACTTAGACTTTAGCAAAGCATTTGACAGAGTACCGCATCAGAGGCTTCTGAGAAAAATTAAGGCTCATGGTATCGAGGGGAAAGTTTAAATTGGATAAAATCATGGCTCACCGATAGAACACAGAGGGTCAGCGTAGATGGTGTTAAATCTGAATGGGGCCGTGTAACCAGTGGGGTTCCCCAGGGGTCAGTACTAGGCCCACTCTTGTTCATAATCTACATAAACGATCTAGATACTGGGATCAGCAGTGACATAAGCAAGTTTGCGGATGACACCAAAATAGGGCGGCAGATTAATTCAGGGCAGGGTGCAAATGCATTACAAGAGGATCTAAATAAACTGCAGGGGTGGTCTGAAAAATGGCAAATGAAATTCAACATCAGCAAGTGCAGCATACTTAATATTGGAAGAACAAATACTGACAATGTATACAGCCATAACAACATCAACGTAGAGAAGTCGACTTGTGAAAGAGACCTAGGGGTACTTGTAAGCCCGGACCTACGGCCTAGAAAACAGTGCGTTAATGTTTGAAATAAGGCAAACAGAGTATTGGGCTTTATATCTAGAAGTGTAAGTAATAAGAGTGCAGAGGTCTTATTGCAACTATATCTTGCGCTAGTCAGGCCGCACCTCGATTATGCGGTTCAGTTCTGGTGCCCTTATTATAGAATGGATATCAATTCACTAGAGTCGGTGCAGTGAAGAATGACGAAAATGATTCCGGGACTTAGAAACCTTCCAAATCAGGATAGGTTAAAGAAACTAAACTTGCATTCCCTAGAAAGACGAAGAGTGCGGGGAGATATGATAGAAGTATTTAAGTGGGTGAAAGGAATCAATAAAGGGGATATAAATATACCGGTAGTTCCTATAATATCCGAGCAGGATAGGACTCGAAGCAACGGATTTAAGTTGGATAAGTTTAGGTTTAGGAGGGAGATAGGAAGGAACTGGTTCACAAATAGGGTGGTGGACGAGTGGAACAAGCTTAGCAACTTTGTAGTAAGTGCTGGAACACTGGAAAGTTTCAAAAGGAGACTAGATAGATTCATGGATGATAGGGAGTGGCAGTAACTCTCGACAGGAGCTGCCATGCACAGGCCAACCGGCCTATTGCAGACTCCTTATTTTCTTATGTTCTTATGTTTTGTTAGATTACATTCAGTTTGGTTACATTATGTTAGGTTGTAAGATTAGGTGAGGCTGTTAGATAAGTTATGGAAAAACATCCAATGCTTTGATTTACAACAAAATCACTAAATGAAAAAAGACAAGAAAATCAACAATAATGAAAAAACATTACAGTATGCTAAAATAATGCATTTTTCCAATAACTTATTACAGGTATATTATTCTCTAACACTCATACTATTATTAAGTCCACAAATAAGCTTTCATTGTGTTACTATGGTATTGTCTTATAATCTCCATATAACTTAGTCTTCAAACTCACTAAAGACATGTGCAGTACTGTACTGTATCTTAGACTCATCTCCACCACACAGTCACTTGATTGTCCAATTTTTCCTCAGAAACTTTCTTGTGATACAGTATGTAGAAAATTAAATAAAACAAAATTATTTGTCTTCTTATACTTCATATGCTAATGAATTATGTATAGTAAATGTGGAATTTGATTGTGAACAAAAATTTTGGGGTGTGGATATTGCCAGCAATCACAGGAGAGAGCAAGTAGAGTATCAGGTGAGACAGGTCATATGCTTGGCTGTCTGGCATACTGTACAGCCATATTGTGCATTAGTGCGTGCTGACATATTCTTGGTCCAGTTTTTGCTGAATTTTCACTTTTTTTATTTTTGTTTTACATTTAGCTCCCTTTAGTAGTACTAAAGTAATTTCTATCACTTATATGTTTTATTTAGAATTTATATTATGGTTTTTCACCAACTCGTTCAGTATTCATTTGTCTAATATTAGTTTTTATCATTTATCAGGTGAATCAGAGGAAGATGCTCTGAGACCACGAGCAATGTTGTCAGCTTTACAGTTTCATCCTAACAAACCTCATGAAACTGTGGTAGGTGATACTTACTGGTCCTGTTTCACTAATGTTTCAGTAATATCTTGTGAATACTTACTGGTGTTACTATTATAAATACAAAATTAATATAAAATGCTGATAAACAAGCAAAAACAAAAACAATATACAGTAAGGAATATTCTCACAAGTGTAAAGTAACGGCCTACATGGTAAGTCAAATTAAGGCTAAAGCAAACTCACACTCCCTGTATCTCCTCTTCCAGCATTCAAAACCATACACCTACCTTACCTACCTACCTTATATTATTAACAGTTGAGCTATTTAATTTGTTTTTTATACAATCTAGATGAAAATTCCTGCTAAGCCATTAAGAAAAAGCTCAATGAAAGTTTAATACAACCACCATGCATAGACACTGGCTACTTGGCTGCCTCAACACTCGCCAGTCACCATAGCAATGCCCCCACCCCACACACACCCTGCTCCTTCTCGCTCCCCCAGCTCAGCCTCGTAACTCATACACAAAGAAATGTTTTTATCCTATATGTGTTTGCCCTTATGATAGCTATTTCATTTACTTTATTTTCACAATATGTATGTAGGATTGTGTGTGCATGTAATTGATTAAAAAAAAAGTTACATACTTCTACCCAAAATTACAAGTTGAAAATAAACATAACACCTCATAGCTCAGTAAGGTTAGCTTATAGTGAGCATGTCCCGAGTAGCTGTTGTTCACAGTAAACAGCCCACAAAAAGTTTATTAAGTTTAACCCCTTAAAAATACTAAGTTCGATCCCTTACTTTTTGCATAAAAATTTGATCATAAACAATTCATATTGTTCTAAAGTATATATTATATACTGTACACATGCACATCATCCACTTTATCTCATACTGCACAAGGTCATCCATGCCACATACACGTACGTCGGGAGTCGGGAACCTTAAAAAATCTTCTCTGTGGCTCTGAAAGCTTCTAGAACCTTACCTACATCTATTACATCAATTCCAACTAAACTGTTTTTAATAAAAAGAAAAGAACAAATAATAACGACAATTAAAAAAAATAACATCATTAATTAAACAGTAAACTCATCTTGACCGTACATAAAATTATTTTAATTATCTCTTATTTGAACAATACCTTGGTAGGTTTAGTTCAACCCCCCTCCCCGGGCATTTTTCTGGGTACGTCACTGATCTATTAAAACAGTTTAGTAGTTATTAATTAATGATTGATTAGTGATTGAGTAGTTAAAGTCTGTTATAGGTTAAGTGTTTTACATATTTAGTGTACAGTAGTTTGAGACACTGATACTTGGTTAATAAATTACTGTTCTCTCTATCTTATGTCTTAATATGACAAAAAAACACTTGTTCAGCTAAATGTTCACTCTTGTTCTGCAAAATGTTTATTCTTCAACTGAATGTTCACACTTTTGTTCTGCTAAATGTTCACTTTGTTCAACTAATTGTTCACTCTCTTGTTTTGCTTAATGTTTACTCCTCACTCTTGTTCAACTTAATGTTCACTCTGTTATTAAGCTTAATGTTCACTCTCGTTAAGCTTACTGTTCACTCTTCACTCTTGTTCAACTTAATGTTTACTTTTATTTGGCTTAATGTTCACTCTTTACTCTTGTTTTGCTAAATGTTCACTCACTTTTTTCAGCTAAATATTCTTTTGTTCAGTTAAACATTCACGCTAGTACAGCAAAATTTTCATTCTTGTTCAGCTAAACATTCACTCTTTTATTGTTAATTGTTCACTCTCTTGTCCAGCTGAATTTTCACCCTTGTTCAGCTAAATGTTCCACTGGAGCTGTCTGGGCTTGAACACTCCCCGCTGGACCTCAGTGGTGACTACCGGGACCAAGGGTTACTCCACACAGCAGGAGATGCCTGGCTCGACCTACGTGTTGTGACCTCCTCCTCGGGTGCTGTCTGCATCTGTCACCATTACATATATAAGGTTAAGCCCTGTTATCCAGCCTCATATAGAGCACCTGAAGTTTGTGAGATGAAGATTAGTTTGCATTATGTAGCTAATATGAACAATGGACAATTTTGTAATTTAGAAACACCTCAAATGACATTACTGTCAAGTCTACATATCATGACTTAGCAGAAGGCTGCTACATTAAAGGTCACAGACTTAAGTTAAAGAAGCCACATATACAAAAAATTTTTAGAGCCAAATTTTTTGGAATGAGAGTTGTGAATGCTTGGAATAACCTGCAAGAGAGTGTGATGACAACACCAAGTGTTAGCTTATTTAAGACCAGACTTGACCAACACTGGCTTATGTTCTGGTATATTCAAGAGCTCAAACATGCCCAGTGCATGCTAACAGTGTGTAACAGAGAAATGACCAATCAATTAGAGAGCTGACCAGTAGCAAAGAGGATAAATTAAAATAAAATTTAAATTTGAAATTATCTTCTCTGCTAATAGCAATATTTATTATTATATAACATGCAAAGTTTTTTCTAAAGTCTTGAACTTTGTATCACTGAAATTGAGATTTAATGATAAGATATTAAGAATGTATATGCACTACCTTAAATCATAACTGTGAGAGGTTGGAGTCATAGACCATGTTTTCTATAGACTTTATTATAACAGCGTCAGCTGGGCACTGGCCATCAGGCGCTGCCAAGGACAAGCCCCCCCACTCAACATGGGAAAACATATCGTACGATGGTACACTCTTACATCTCCCCCCCAAGTTAAAAGGAAATGACAATGCACCTTTGAACTAACAAAAGGAAAACAATGCATTCATAAAAACAACAATAATGCAGGAAAAACGAGTCAAACAAAGGAAAAAAAAACAAAAACAAAACAAAAACAAAAAAAACCTCTAAACTGATTTTACATCACATACACTACACCACGTAGTCCGTCAACCAGCCCGGAGGCCTACGGCCTCTCCTGGGCCTGGCCGCGCTCGACTGGGGAGGGGCCGTGGGTGCGGAGGAGGGCGCGGGTATGGAGGGCACAGCAGAAGGGGGCCCAGGAGGCACAGCTTGGTGCACCACCGGAGTAGTAGGCACAGGTGTGGAGCCGTTTCGCAAGTGGCGTCTGTTTCGGATGGACACCCTGCCACTGCCACCCAACCTGACGGCATACTGCCTGTGAGGGCGGGCTTCCACCACTATGCCTGTCCTGTCCCAGAGCTTGGTAGCTGCGTCCTGCACACGCACCTGCGTGCCCACGACTAGGGGAGCCAGCTGGCGGGATACCTCCCTCCGCGACAGGACCCCATCCTGTGTTTCGGCCAAGCGCACCTCCCTCATACGAAGTGCCCGCCGCCAGTGCTGGTCCACCTTATAGTGCTGTCTGGCCACGGGAACGCCGTCACGGAGCTGGCGGCCGGTGGCAAGTTGGGCGGGCGACTTGTTCACCCCCCGCAGAGGCGTGTTCAGGTACTGGAGGAGGGCCTGGGATGTCCTATCGCAGTCCAGGCTACCCCCGGGCCCAGTATTATCCCTGAGGAGCCTCTTGGCAGCCTTGACCCCAGCCTCTGCCCTGCCATTGGACTGGGGGAAGTGGGCCGACGAGAGGCGCACCTCGACCCCCCATGACTTGAGGAAATCTGTCATCTCAAGGCTGGCAAGGTTGGTACCTCCATCTGTGGAGATCTGCTCAGGTACCCCCCACCTCGTGAAGTAGGCCCGCAGACTGGCGATGATTTTTCCAGAGGTGGCCTCGTTGGGGAAGTGGGCGATCTCCAGCCAACCTGTCAGTCGGTCAGCATATGCTAGGTACGTGCGGCCCTGCAGGTGGAACAAATCGGCCACCACTTGTTGAAAGGGATAGTCTGGCGCTGGGGTCAGAACCAACGACTCCGGAGGCTGGGAAGGGGCGTGGGTCTCGCAAGCAGCACACCGGGACCGATGATACTGCAGGTCACCCTCCATGCCAGGCCAATAGACAGACTGCCGGGCCCGCCTGAGCATTGAGTCGAGGCCCTGGTGCCCCACATGCAGGTTAACGGCGACCCGGTGGCGGAGGGAGTCGGGGATGACAAGGCGCACGCAGCCCTGGTCAAAGGTGTAGGTGACCAAACCCCTGACCACAGCCAACCTGTCCCTCACCGAGAAGTACGGGCGCAGACAGGCCACCTCCTGTGACTTGTGGGGGTGCCAGTCGCCCGCCAGCACCCTCGACACTAGAATCTGGTACACTGGGTCGTCCGCAGCCGCTTTGCACACTGTGTCTTCGTCCATAGTGATGCACCCATCCTGATCCAGTGCTGCGATTGTGACTGCACACACTGCAGCGCACAGGTCCTCCTCTTGGTCCATGTCCTCCGCATCAGGCGCCGCCCTGAGGGAGGGGAAGCGGGATAGGGCGTCAGCTGCACAGTTCCGCTTCCCTGGCAAGTATTTGACCGTGAATCGGTACTGCAGGGTCTTCTCCTTGAGCCTGAACAGGCGCGGATTCGCCACATCCGTGAAGGCTCTGTCCCCTAGCAAGCCAACTAAGGGGCGGTGGTCCGTCACCAGAATGAGGTTCGGGCAGCCAAGGAGGAACAGCCTGGCCTTGCGCAGGCACCACACCACAGCCAGGGCCTCCCCTTCTACTGCAGCATAACCGGCCTCGGCCGTGCTCAGATGTCGGCTACCACACAGAGCCAACCGCCACCCTCCTCTGCAGCAGAAGGGCGTCTCTGGAGAGGCACAGGCACAGTATTGTTGCAGGACGACGAAGCCGATGCCCTCCCTGCTCCAATCAGTGACAGCTGCCGTAGGCCTGGATTTGTCGTAGTACACCAAGCCGTCTCTGGCCAACTGACAGATGGTGTCCTGGGCCTGGCGAAACTTGAGCCGCAGCTGGTCGTCCCAATACACCTGCTTGCCCACTGGCTTCTTGAGGAGCTCACGGAAGGGCTCCATCACAGGTGCAGTGGCAAGGAAGGGAGCCAACTGATTAACCAGGCCATGCCAGGACCTGATGTCAGTGATTGATGGCTGATCCGGCATGGGGAAGTCCTTGATGGCTGACAGACGTTGGGCAGTGGGCTGGTACAGGTCCCACCCCAGGAGGAAACCCACAAACTCAGCTTCTCTCCTGCAGAACAAGAACTTTTCTGGTTTCAGCGTGATACCTGTGCGAGCGCAGGTCTCCAGAAAATCGTAAGTGTGCCAGAACGCCCCCTTCACACTGGAGTCATAGAGGAGAGTGTCATCCACGCACTTGTACTTGCGGGGCACATCCTGAATAGCGTCGTCAAACCTCTTGGTGTAAGCATCTGACGCTGAGCAATGTCCCATGGGCGTCCTGCAGTATCGAAAACGTCCCCACGGCGTGATGAATGTGGTCAGGCGTCTACTCTCCTCCTCCAACTCCACTTGATGAAATCCCCAAAAGGCGTCGGCGACGGTTTTGAACGAGTGCACTGGCACCCCAGACACCATGTCGAATGGTGCAGGTGTGTGGTGCGTCTCCCTCAGACAGCTTGCATTGAGGCGTTGGAAGTCCACAGTGCGCCTGGGCTGACCGTTTTTCTTGGCCACCACGACCATCCTGGCGCACCACTCCGTAGCCTCACCAGCAGGCACTGGCTGGATGACGCCTCTCCTGACGTCCTCCTCCAACTGGGCCTTCACCTCCGCTTCCCAGTGTTTCGGAACGGGAGCGGGTGTGTGACAGGCATAGGGGGTCGTGCCGGGCGTCAGGTGGATACGGTGAGGGGGACCAGTCATGACTGGCAGTGGGGACCTGCTGGTGTTGAATGCGGTAGACGAAAAGTGCGTGAGTAGCCATGCCTCCAGCCTGGCCACATTCTCCTCCAAAGGAGGCAAGGGTATCTCAACTGGCCTCGGCGGGAAACGGCTGCTCTCAGGTAAACGGTTCGGAGGTAGATCGTCGGCAGTGTGCCGCTCCCCTCCATCGCCCACGGCAGCCACAGCACGTCTATGGAGCGGGAAGTCGACAGGCACCAAGTTGAGGCACTTGCAGGCCTCCAATGACAGATAGAGGGCCTTGGCTGTCTGCACGAAGTAGACCTCCTGGACGGTGGACCCCTCGTCCACACCGAGGCGGCAGGGGGCGGACCCCAGACACTTGAGCTGTTTGTTCGCCACGTCCCTTAAGCCATTACGGGCCCGAAGTTGCCCCGGACACAAACCGATGTCCCGGAGCAGGGATGCGCCTGCCACACACACCATAGCACCCGTGTCGGCTACAGCCAGCACAGGGGTGGCGGGGGAATTGCCCCCGGCCTGGGACACGAACACTTGTAACCTGGGGTGGCGGGATAGCTGGGCTGTTGCCACTGTAACAGCGCCTGACACATCCACAGGAGCACTTAGGGTTGACTTACTCCTACAACACCTTTTGAAGTGACCAACCTTACCGCAATTGCGACATGTAGCCCCACTTGCAGGGCAGTTACTTTTACCAGGGGCATGTGACACGCCGCAATTACCACAGTGTCCTCGACTTGGGTGTGGAGGTCGGGCGGCAGCTACCTCAGGCTCACCGGTGACGTCATCACCACCCGCCACTGCCTCCGCAACTGTTCCCACCACTGCCTGGCCAGACGTACGACACAATACACCAGCATCTCTCACTGCTGCCTCAAATAACATGCATTTGTTTCTAAGCACTTCAACACTATTATAACTAGAGTACCCCTGGAAAATTTCCCTTTTCAACACTGGGTTACTCAGGCCCACCATAACTTTACGTAATAGCATGTACTCAGAGAGGTCGTTATCACAGGTGGGACATTTAAATTCACACTCCACTGCTTCTGAGAAGCATCGTTGAAAATACCTTTTCATGGGCTCCTCTTCACCTTGTTTGCTGTTGAAAAACTCGTTCCATTTCACAGCTTGGTTTGAAGATTGAAGAACCATTCCACTGATGGCGTCCAGGGCTTCTTTGGGCGAGAGCTGCTCCCACTGACCGCTGGGGTATCTCGAGTCAATCACTCTTTGGAGTGCGGGGACGCAGTTCAGGCGAATGTGGAGTGTGGCCACCAGCTGTGGCCACCCGTTCAGCAGCACCCATGACTCCATGGACCGCCTCCATGTCCTAAACGCAGCTGCTGGCATTTCTGCCTCACACTTCTCTGGAGCGACAGCTGCTGAGGGCTTCATGACCGGCATAGAAGCATGACCACCGCCAGCACCTAGAGACGCCATCTGAGCCATCAATGCACTCATGGCCTGCTGCTGGGCGCGCGTGGTGTTCCCGGCCGGTGTAGAGAAGCCCTGGCGTCCCCTTGAGGGCGTCGAGAATCGTGGACGTGTAGGGGCCATGTCAGCGTTCTTGTCAGGGCTGTAATGGCGTGTCGGGCCCCGACATATCCTACTCACTGTGCGCCATGTGAGAGGTTGGAGTCATAGACCATGTTTTCTATAGACCTTATTATAACAGCGTCAGCTGGGCACTGGCCATCAGGCGCTGCCAAGGACAAGCCCCCCCACTCAACATGGGAAAACATATCGTACGATGGTACACTCTTACAATAACAAAATGTAGAGTACTGTACCTATAACAATCCATATGTATTGAATGTTTAATTGTATATCGGTATACAGAACTAAAAACTGAAACTATGATATATGTTAGTAAGAAGATAAATACCTTAGGAGTTTTCCTAAAGGAAAACAAAATGGAAATTTTCACTGAAGAACAGTAATTGGAATTTGTATTGTATAACTGCAGGTGAAATGCATACAAAACCATGAACTATTTTATTTTTATTTTTTTCAAAGTTAAAATCTTTAGCACATTTTAATACTTCTGTTAATGGGATATTTGTCATAAGTGTTAATAACTATTTACAGTCAAGGCTGGCAGAGACCCCAGCTGACCCTGAGAGCTGTGCCGTGTATCTGGCGTACTCAGTAACACTTCTCCATCATGGGTGTGTTCTTCATTCTGTTGTCCCAGGTGTTCCTTGGGGACATGCACACTCAGCCCTTCCCACTTACTCTCTCTTTGGTGGTAAGTGTGTGTTTTTTCTGTGTTTCCTCTTATATAATGAGTATATTGCAGGTGTTCTTTCTGTGTTTCCTCTTATATAGTAGGTATATAGCAGTGATGTAGTCAATACCACAATTGAGACCATCACCTGAAGAATGGCCCTCAGATAGTTTCAGGGTAATTTAACATTAGGCTGGTTAACCCTTGTGCCCTGGGCAGTGTAAGACCTGCTAGACCCCATGCCAGCATTTTTTTTTCCAAATCCACAGTCAACAACTGGTATTTCAGGCATACAGTTAATGCAATCACTCCAAGCATACTGTTGTGGCTGATGTGCACGTGGTCCCCTATGTCCACAGCCACCATGGTGCCCACAACCTCGCTGAGGGGGTGGCTGGTGGGGTGAGGAGGGGAGTGAGAACCATTGTCTGCATCACTGTCTTTGTCACCCAATATTCTATCAAGCCACTTATATCAAGCAACTCTTGACGAATAGCATTACTGTCGAGGGTGTGGAAGAGTGAGGTGGGTCACTAGACGTCGAAGGGCGTGCATCCATCATAATACTGGACCACTAGACTTGACACAAAGATTATGTGCGAGTTGAGTTGTCAAGTAAATAAATATCCTATACAAAGTACTTCGTCCTGCCTGGACACTCGAACTACCGGTATGCCGCGAAAATTAAAAATGTAGAGGAACATCATCCGGGGTCACTATGGTGGACGTAGAGGAACGTTACCCGGGCTTTAAGGGTTAAGCTAAGGGGTAAAATTTCAAGTGATCACTTAGTGTGGTAATCTTCAAGTGATCTATAGAGGGTAAATTGTGAATGGTCTCGACTACAACAGTGGTATACCGTGTACAGTAGTGCAGGTAGGTATTATACATAAACATCAACATGACCACTTGTCTTTTCACTCGACTCTTCAACTGAGGCCTAGAGTCAGTTTGTAGCAAGGCACCTGATTAGTTGGTGGACAGTCACCCAAGGAATCACGACAGTGCTTCAATATTTAGTCTATCGTATCTGTATTCTGATATTTTAATGGCTAATAACTATCCTGTGTTGATCTCTGATAATTTCTATACTTGGGAAGCAAATACTAGCACATGAAATGTTCTGGTAACATAAATATCTTGAAGAGAACAAGAAAAAAGTACAAAATTTCAGCAACATCTTCCACTATGCTGAGTGACATCACATGGCAAAGTTTACATCCCGGAATTTTGTTCATCTTGTTTGTGTTCTCTTTATGATATTTTTATTAACAGTGTTTCATGTGTTAATTTTAGTTTTACCAATTATGGAAATTATCAGAGGTCAACACAGGATATTTATTATCCTTTAAAATATCAATATAAATACAATAGATTAAATATTGAAGAACTGTTCTGTCAGGATATTTTGGATGTCTGTTCACCAACCAATTAGCTGCCTTGCCACAAACTGACCCTAGACCACAGTTGCAAGTTTTGTGCGAACAGACTAGTTCATATATTCTTTGTGTTAAAGTGAGCCATTTCCTGTTCCAGAGCACTACCTGTTGGTCATTGTGCCAGGAGTATGTATGCACATGTTGGACATTGGACTGAGCCACATGCCCAACAACCATATTGTCACCACTCCTCCACCACAGCTGCTGCCTAATGCTCAGCTCTTCCAGGTTAGATTTTTTGTCACCACTTGTTTACATATTTTTGTCATGTATTTTGCAACACCATTTCATATATTTTTGGTCATATACTTTTACCACCAATTGAAATATTTTTGTTTTAAGTGTTTACCCTATTACCAGCAATTCAGATATTTTGTCATACAATAATGAACATGTTATGAATTAGAAGTTATTTATGATAATAGACTTTTATCACTTGAGAAACATTTCATTGATTCTGATTGATTTATTCCAAAGGGTTCCTAAATTGTACTAAAGTTTTTGTAGGTACAAGTATACATAGGCTCAGGGAGTTGGGGTGATGCAGTACAAGGAGATAACAATTTATGTTCTTAATTTTAGCATTTAATACTTTTCAGTCCGTTGGTTCCTATGTACAGAATGCAAAACACACACACAAACTGACAGTAGCAGCATAGAGTATAGAGGATCCTCCTGCAGGAAAATCTGTACCATGAACAAGATCATTCGCAATTTTAGTCTTCATGGGTCAGCTGAACTTTACACATCAGAACTATGGACAGCAATTGATCTTTTATAACACTTTACTGTACTTACTTATTTCAATTATTTATTGACAAGAATGTGAGGAAGCTTATGTGTAGTATTTCCATTAGATGTTGTAGGCCTTTCTTGTCACTCTGTGTTTGTCTTTCACCACTGTCCCTCCACCATTTCCTCCCTTCCTTGAGGTTTCTGTATCTGTTGACCTCTCCAAAAGGAATGAGAGGAAACAAGGCCACAGGTACCAGAAGTTAGAGTTATTCCCATGAGAAAATGAAAACAGAACATAACCACACAATAGAACAATGGAGCGCTACATTCACCATCCTCAAAAACAGATAAACAGACTTGTTGAGCTGCTCACCAAACACAGAGAGTGACTGTATAGATTTTTAACTCTAACCAGAGGATTAAAAAGTATGTGTAACCACTTGTTATATGCGCGAGTGATTTTGTATTTCTAAACCCAAAGTATTTTAAAAACAGAATAACAGGTATTCATGAATTATTCTGCTGCAATTGTGATTGATAAAATTATGAAAGAAAATGCTTTAGATATAAACAATAAAACATATACTGTACTATACTGTAATGTACTGTATTTGCCTATACAGTATATATTCTCAGGTGACCCACCATACTTAAACCTAACCTAACCCTTCCAGGTAGCACAAGGGTGGTTAATCTTCAGGTGATATAAGCTGGGGTGTCTAATAATTGGGTGATTCTTCATTTTTACAGATATGTGGAGGCAAAGTCATCTCAGGTCGCTGCATAACATTCGTGGACGGAATAAACCAGATGACGGTAGAAGTTCGTGTGACCAAGGAATCTTTGTTCTCACTGTTCAAGAGTTCCTCCACCCTGAGCACACGCCTGGCCATCCTACACCTGGCAGCCATCCATGATAAAGACCATGATCTGTCACGAAAGGTAGACCTCAGGGGGTGTTTTATGTAGCTGCAGTCAATATTAACAAAGTTCTCTACTTTTCTCAAAGCTGATTATATTTTGCTTAGTATGTAGTTCTCTTTAACCAGTCTTAAGATTTTTAAAGTTATTTAAAACTAAAACATGTACAGGATTATTAATATTTTTTTTACTACAGGGTATTTAAGTTTTGGAAGGGGATTCAGCATCTAGGCTTTAATGTACCCCCACCCCCAGCATGTGCTATGTTGTGTTTGTATGGTGTACGTTTAGTTGCGACACGTATTTGGTGCCAGCAACAACATGCATTTTTCTCGTTACATAAAACAATTTTTTTTTATTATTATTATACCTTTGACTATATAAGCATGCAGATTTAAATAAATATTAATACTTATTTTCCCTCTTTGTTTTCAACTATGTACAGTACAGTCATTCCCTGATTTACAAAAGGCTACCAATCCTGAAAAAACATTCATGCCAACAGTGCGTAACAGAGATGTTGACCAACCACCCAAGTGGCTAACAAGCCGATCAGTGGAAAGAGGTTAAAAGTAAATTGATTTTGGGGAAATTGGATCATATTTCCCCCAGAGCCCCTTTATAAAAACTGATTTACATTCTGACAAAAAATATTCCCAAAATGTCTTAAGATGCCACAAACAAGTTTTTAATAAAAAAATCTTGGTGTACACAGTGATTATAAGCCAATAAGAAACATATAAAATGCTCGACCTCTGATTAGTTATTGCATCATCCTAAATTCTCGCTGTTTTGTTTACATGACTTGAAGGTTGCCATTAGTCAGCTGGTACTACACTCATGCGCTGCTGGTAATATCCACACCTTCAAACTTTTGTTCACTTTCAAATTCCACACTTTCTCCTTTAAATCTACTCCTTTATTGTACAGTACATAATTAGCTTATGAGATTTAAGAATACAGAATAATTCTCTTATACCTGTACTGTATTTAATTTTGCCACATATTACATGAGAGATTGGACAACAGGCTGAGTGACTGTTTAGTAGATGCAAGTCTACTTGTCATCAGTGAGTTTGAGGAATAAGTTATTTGGTGATTGTAGGAGAATGATGATACATTGAAAGCTTATTTGTAGACTTAATAATATTGTGAGTGTTAGAGAATAAGGAAGTAAGTTAGTGAAATAAGTATAGATATTGGTAAACCTAACCTCCGTAAATCAGTGACTGCCTGTATGTGCCTGTGACATTAGGAATCCTTTTAATTAGGATTAAATTAATCAGTCATTAGCAGAGAAGGTTTTTAATTTTCTAATTTCTCATAATAATATTATTTAATTCCTGTGAATAATTAACATAGTAGTTTGGTCCTGCATGTTGTAATTTATTATTTACGTGGAAAAATATTTTAATGTCTTAAAGTTGATGATTGCCTTATTTATAACATTCATGGCTCTCTAAACTACAGGATATCTATACAGTAAAACCTTAATGCTTTTATTTTGTGTTTCTCTGCATGTTGTGGCATCATCAGTTGGTGTGGAGTGTTTTTGGTGGCCCCGAGAGACTGGACTCTCCTGTGTTACTTCAGGAATATCTGGTGGGATGTAGAAGTGTGTAGTGTAGCACATCCCTCTCTACTGTGATGGCATAAGTGATCACAGAATCAGATGAAATAGAGTATACAGTAGTTGGTCCTGGATGAGAGGTTGTATTAGTGACCACAAAATTAGATGATGCTGTACAGTATTATAAAGTAGTTGTTGTGGGGTGAGAGGATGTGTAAGTTGGTTATTATGATCAGATGTTGAAAGTTGGAATGTCATGAGAAGATTCTGCTTTGACCAATATAAACCTTAACCCCTTTAGCGGGCAAGGGCTTCCCTTAGCTTATTAAAATCGTCTGGCATTAGCAAGAATAAAATATCTAAGGGATAGTTTTCCCTCCAAAGTGTTAAAATTTTTGAAAAGAGTTTACATAGTTCACTCTGATCTCAACATATAAGGTGCCATGTTAGTAATAGAATTCTGTACATACTTTTGCGATAATATTGTGTGATCTATAACAACATACACTGTCACTGTTATAGGGGAAGAAAATCATTTTTAACAAAGATAAGGACTCATAGATTGTAGGATAATTAAAATCATGACTTTATGCTGTGAAACTTGGCTTTTTCATTTAGATAATCACTTATTAATTTCCTTAATAATTTATCATGAAAAGAAACTAAAGACTGTTAAAAAGGAAAATTGCAGATTATGGTTCACGTGGACTTCTCACAGTAAGAGGACAGAGGGACAGATGGGTTGTGTTGAACCCGGCCTTTGTGTGGTATTGTGCAGATAGGTTGAATTTGCTGCATTAGAGATGGGTAGTGTGTTTGTTGAACTGTGTACTGATGAGGATATGTTGTATAAGGTCTGATAAGGGTAGAGTCAGTGGCAGGGTACTGAGAGATATAATGCCTCATAAGTTAAGATCATGTAGATAGGAAAAAAGGAGAGACTGGTGTAACATGTGTTTATGGAACAATGTACAGTACTTTTTTACCTCAGAGGATAATATGTGAGGTTATAATGGGAATATTTTATTCAAGCCTACAATATTGTAATAAAGGACACACAAACACCTTTATGGGATATATTTGATATGTTGGAATATGTTAGGCGAATGATGTAACAGACTGTACAATGGGAAATGGGTTATTTGAGAGCAGATGAGTTAATGCAGAACTAAGTACTACTCATAAACCAATGTAGTAAATATATAAAGTGAATTGATGTGAAAGATTGAAACATTGAGGAAGTGTTGATTCACTGTAGGTTAAGAATGAATGGATTAATTTGATTTGTGTATTTTTGTAATTCACTTTATGTTAAATTTTATTATAGATCTTATTGCACCTGCACCACCCTGTTCAGTGGTGAATTAAGTATAGTGAGAGAAAGATAAATAGATAAATTGATGGTACATATTTTTTGTATAAGCTGTTTCTGGTTGTAATGAAGACTACTGCACCTGAATCATGAATAAACACACATCCAGACTCTCTCTTCGTTTACTGTCATTCATTCACATTGCTTAATCTCTTCCCTAACCAGACCCCAAGTATCTACAGTATTCACATTCTTACTTTCAGTCATCCAGCTTCAGTGAATACTCTCAGACATCCTAGTTTTTGGTGTTTTTATACATCATTATCAATACCTCATATACACCCATGATAACTTCCTCCACAGTCACTCATCTCTTAGGTTTATCTTTTCAACTTTCTTCGTCAGATATGGATAAGACGTCTTTGATTATCTCACATAACCTCTTGTTCTTTATTTTCTAACTCAGAGTAACACATCATTCCCTTTGCTAGAATTCCTGTACTGTCTAACCTTGTGTTCCTGCTCTCCCCATCATCCAAGGGTAAACAATACAGAAAGTTTTATATCACATAATCTTTAATTATTGGTTGAGTAGTGAAATTTCTACCAATATCCTAGTTATGTGCTTAAAGACCTTTGTTGTTGAAGTACAGTTGTAATATAAGAACAAGGGTAACACATCACTACACATTTTTTAATTTCGTTCATTACCTCTTGTATTGTACTGTATTTTGTATCTTCTGTAGTGTTACAGTCACATCTCACTTTCACAACAATTTGAGTTCATCCTAGTTTATTTACCCTCACTTTATTTAAATGTTCTCTTTTTGCCTTTAAACATTTTAGTTTATATATTATCATTATGTATATTTCTGTATTCTTCCATTTAGATATTGTAAGTTATCTGCAAACCTTCTACTGATGTGGAACTAAATATGCATGGGTTAGTGACTAACTGTCTTTATATGATGTGAACTTTTTTTTACCAACTACTCTACAGTTCACTTATTTTAGTGATTAGAATCTTGGATTAATGGTGGTAGACTAATATTAATTGTGTAAGAATGGTATACTTATACAAGTACACTAATGTCTTTATACAGAATAAACATAGAGGTATATGGAAGGTAGGTGCTTATATGTACACCCACTAAAAAATTATTTGGCACCCGTGTCATATTGTATCACGCCGTAAGGGTGCTGAATAATTTTTTATTGGATGTACATAGACAGTGCAGGTATACAATGTACATAGTACAGCTATACAAACAATGTACACCCAATAAAAAATTATTCGGCACCCATCGGCGTGATACAATATGACACGGGTGCCAAATAATTTTTGGGTGGGTGTACAGTATAGGGATACTGTACACACAAACACACAATGTATAAACATTCTGACAGAGCATTTCTTTACAGCTGATGTGGAGTGTGTGTGAAGACCCATACAACCTGGACACTCCAGCACTGCTTCAGGAGTACCTGGTGGGGGAAACATATGCTGCTGTCCACAAGCATATTGACTCTGATGCTGGACACCTCCTCTCCCTCCTGCCTATCACCACTGCTCCCTTCACTACTGATACTGAATACATTGTGAGATATTTCTTTATTACAATGTGTTAACCTATTTGGAAGTACTGTACAGTGATTTGTATTAATAGTCCAGTTCAATATGTATTTTCAGTTACAGCTCACTGCCTCAATACATATGTTCACTTCCCACACATACTCTCCATTTTTCTTATTTTATAGTTTTATACTTGTATTAGATTTTCATTATTCCTAAGCCACAATAGAGTATTGTATTGATGCACACTTGGAGAACAGAATCCCCAGTTTTCTGAATTCCCTCCCAATTTTTTCCAGTTAGTTGAAGATCACTAACCAAAAATTTACAATCATTAAATGGGAAAGGGTGTTAAGAATTTAAAATCGCGAAACTGAAAAATTGCTGAGTGAACGATCGTTAAACATTCCCTGTATTTTTTATTTATTTATTTATTTATTTTTTATTTTTTTTGTCCAGGACATCCTAAAGTTACCAAAAATGTATAGTTTTCCTAATCTCTAAACAAAATTAATGAAGCTTCTAATCTGTACAGTATGAACCAAACTAAAATCTACAACATTTTTAGTTAGCTATATTGTATAGACATGCACTAATATGTATTTCCCTCAGCTTACCATACTTTCAATACATTTTTCATGTGCAACCATCTCAGTATGCATTCATTCATGTGTCTTTCCACACATCCACAAATTCTCAATGAATCTTGTAATGCAGCAGAGGTTATTAAAATATTTGGGTATTGGTTTTGAATTATATTTTCCTTGAAAAACATAGTTCACATCCATAGAAAGTAAACTTAAACTAGACTCGTCACTTGCTTCTTTCACATTACACTGAACATCTTACTATTCACCAATTCTAATATGGTACCTCAAGCTTCATCAAAACCTATTACTGTATATTCTTAACCTTCATCTTTTCTTTTGAATTTATGAATTTTTAACCGAATTATTTGCTTTAATAACCACTTCCATGTTATTACAGTATGCTGTTTTGCATTAAAAGATAATACAGTTTTGCATCCCTTATGTCATAAGGAATCCCCCGCTGAAGAAAATGTACGCATCTCCTACTGTCTGCTGGAAAATGCGTGCATAATGTTGTTGTCCCCGCGGGAGCGTGTGGTGCGCTCCTTGTCAGACACGTGGACAAAGTTGTGGGAACACACCAGCAAGAGGCACCACCAGCGCTTCAGCCTCACAGATGTAGTAGACAAGCTTATGGTCTCACTTGATACATACAAGGTTCGGAAGTGAATTCTCAAATTACCGTGATAATCATCTCTCGATATTTGTTTTGTGTTAAGTATTTAGATCTAAGATAATTGTTTAGTGTAGTAAAGTTAAGCAGATCCGAGATATCTGTTTAATGTGTAGTTAAGTTAAGCAGGCCTAAGATGTGTTTTGTGTAAATTAATCAGAACAGTAATGTCCATTTAGTATACAGTGAACCCTCACTTTACGCGGTCAATTGAACCCACGCGGCCCGCGTAAAGTGAACAACATAACATATGGGATTAATTGAAATAGAGACCGGGCCGACCCCCAAACTCCATTTCAAACACAATACCTACATTGTAGTAAAAATATCTTCTTAATTTTATGATGGCATGCACACACAAATAATAATTAAGAGAAATATCAATAATATTAGGTTTTTTAACACATATTTGTAGAAAAGATGGCTGGGCACACGGGGATGGGGGGTTGGTTCCGAGGCAGAGGGCAGATTATTGGCCCTCACCTGTATCACTTGTATCAATTGTATCACTATCCACCACAGAGGCTTGCAGGGTCTCTTTGTCAATCCCCTCAAAGTCCATATAAAGCCCATATCCACACTATCATTATCACTATCACTGACTTGGGCCGGCTGTGGCGGGTGGCGGGTGAAGAACTCGGTAATGTTTTGATGACTTTTTGACCTTGTGCGCACCCTGCTCGCGCCGCTCTCCGCGTAAAAGGGTACACACACCGCGGAAGTGAGCATTCCGTGTTCGGCAGGGTACCGCGTAAACGTGGAAACGCGTAAAGTGGGACCGCGTAAAGCGAGGGTTGACTGTGTGTATATATATATATATATTACACCAAATATTAATCTATTGAAAATTGTTTTGTCAGCCTGAAGCATTGTCACAAGGCAGCACCCCAGTGTCTCCTGCCAGTCCACTGGTTGGGGGTTTGACCATCACATCCTTAGGGCTCACACTTGCACACCTCATGTTTGACCCACTCCCCTTTAATGAGGCTGAGAACACCACATCATCTAAGTTGGAACATCTTCTCTCTGTTGTAAGTATATAACAATACATTTATGTATATTTTCTTTTATGAATTCTTGGGATTACATCAGCTTATGACTTTTATGTATGTACAAAAAATTTTCATAAAAAAATTGAAACCTCATCATTATATCGTGTTGAAATAATTTGTTTAATCATTATTTATTGAAACAGTCCTGTAGAGAATTTACTCAGCATCATTATGGAACCAAATTTATTTCTTTGATGCAATTAGAACATGCCATGAATAAAGGTTAAACACTTTTTTGCTAGCCAAAAATATTTTTGCTCGTGCCTGCGGCCTAAGTCTAATGGGAGAATGTTTGTCCGAGCGAGATGAGATGCAAAATTTAGACTCTATTAGGCTTGGAAAACTTTCCTTGATTACTGTAAGCACCTATAAACATTCCGGGAATGTGCGATAGTGTCTGTTCATGCAAGATGCTTAGTTTAGACTTGAGAAAATTTTTCCCAGTACCCGGAAAATTCTGGGATGAAAAAGTCATCCCATTACCCATAAATCTCTCAGTCCCAGCTAACAGAGATATCACTACAAGTTTATATAAGTTAATACAAATGTAAAAAGTAAAATCTTAATACTGTACTGTAGTTGTGCAATATTTAAAGTCTGATGTTACAATTTATTATAGAACCTGAATGAATATAAGCCCTTGACAAAGATGGAGTACTAATACTGTAGTTCACATTTGTCTAATTATTACAGAACCTGCGGGAGTTAAGTATGTACTGCCTAAAACACTTTCCCCATGAGTCTCCGATGAGGGTACACGCAGTTGCCAGCAAGTATGTGTGCACACAGCTGCAGGTAAGATTTAGTCATTGCTAACAACACTTAGTCTTATATCTATATGAACACTAACTAGCGTGATGTATAGTGACCAGAGACTCTTTATATATGATACTTTATGTAGGAAATGGTTCACGCTTAATTATGTAATAAGAGGTAATTGTGTTAGTTAACCCTTTCACCGCGTGGCTCGACTTTATTCGCATTTTTATTTTGTCTTCCACCGCGTAAATCGACTTTAGTCCACATTCGTAAAAAAAAAATTCTTTTAACGAGTAACTCGACTACAGTCCTTCAGGGTTTGAATTATGCTCCGGCCCAGTAGAGCGCTGCCACCTAGCGGCGACTGGGGCAAGCTGAAGTTCCCGCCATCAAAACACTAGGAGTCAACATTGCTGCTCTGTGTTTTGTCCAGTTTCCCCATTTTTATGACTAATAACTGTTTATATTATATATATAATGTTAGTATTTATTCTATAGATTCAATACTAGCACTTCGAGTTGATAATCATTAAATTAGAAGGGAAATGAACGAGGTAATTTAGGAAGTGAAATTATTTCTTGCATATGCTATGATGGAATTATGTGACATTGTTTATTCATGTTTTTTTTTGAGAGAGAGAATAATGGTATATAGTGATATTTTAAAAGTTTAAAAATGTGCTCTATGAAATATGTACTAGAAAGCGGTAATGCATAATGAATAGAGGAGAAAGGAAACTTAATTCAGTATAAGAGGAAATAGAGCGAAACAGATAACCAGAGAGCCAAACATGGCATTTTGAGACGGGTTTTCCGATACTTCATGTTTTTCTTTTCCTTTCAGAAATGTCTGGAATGCGTGAGTGAGTAAGGCGTGTAAAATGTGAAAGGAAAATCAAGTTTTTATGGATATATATGAATTTATTCTTTACCTATATACAGTATATTCCCAAAGGTGGTTTACTTCCTTGTCTTACAATCAACTTCATCTTTGTAATCTTAATTTATATTGTGTTCTAGTCCAATAAATAACAAGTGCAATAGAATAACTAGTCTATTCCAATCTTTTATTTCATTTACCCACTAACATTCTCGTCTGTGCACAAGTGATTTTCGCATTTGCCCCTAAGATATAGGGTTTCAATATGCAGCTGCTCCTCGACTTATCACGGAGTTAGGGACCCAAATCCAGGTCGTAAGTCGAATTGGTCGTAAGTAAAAAAATGCTTGAATAATGAATAATACATAGAAAATCTAAAATGGGTGTCTCTTTTTCTTCTCAGCACCACAAAACTCTCACTTTTAAGCTTGCCAGCCATTTTAAAGTGAATTACAAACAAAAATTTTGTCAGTACACAGTGCAATCACTGACGTCGGGACTCGAAAATCTGTATGTAATTTGACAATATTTTGGTACGACTGAGGCGGTCATATGTCCGGGTGGTCGTAAGTCAAGTAGGACGTAAGTCGAGGAGTAGCTGTGTACAGTATATGAATAATGGTCACAAATATAAAATTATGTGACTTTAATGGAAAATAAACTATTTATCATTGCAGTTTACACTGTCTGATATATCTACTTATGATATTGCCCATTATTATGAACACAAAAAAAAGTAAAAAAAAAAGTGTTTTCCCCACAGAATCGTAAATTTACCCTAGATATTATTACTAAATGACTTTTTAGTTGTTAAATATGAATTCTTCATGCTTTTTTCATTAAAAAAATAGTTAAAACGTTAATGTAATGATTTACATTTTTTAGTGACTTTTGGCACTTGGGGAATACCGCCGAAATTGGCCAACACAGTGAAAGGGTTAATGCAGACTCTAAATGCAAAAGAGAAAGAAGCATATTACAGCCAAGAGAAATTATCTCTTTGAAAGTACAGGTAATATGTTAATTGAAGAGGATGTTGAGATTAAAAAATACAAGACAAGGAGTTGTGGGACTGAGAGTCAGGTAAGGTGTGGACCAGAGGCTTCTTGGGTGTGCAAGTTAAGAGGTCGATGGTAAGAAAGAGATGGAAGACCAAGAAGTTGAGAGGAAAGGATGAAAGAAGTACTAGAAATGAGGGAGGTGGATGTCCAGGAAGCAGCAGAGTATGTAAAAGATAGGGAATGTATGTAAGAATAAAAGTCATTATGAATTGAAACTACAAATATGGCTGTGAACTTTTGATAAATCTTTTCTCTCCAGTATTGAATATGGATGTTCTTGTGAGTCTTCTGGCTGTTTTAGCATTGTTTTGAATACTAGATAGCAGTGATATAGTGAAGACTGAGATTGAGACCATTTGCAATTTTAGCCTTTATGGGTCATCTAAAGATTAGCCCCTAGTTACACTAGTTTTGGGGTGGTAAAACTTCAGGTTGGCTAAGCTGGGGGTGACTCTTTAAGTTAGCACTTATGGGGGTAATCTGCAGGTGATACAAAAAGGTTAAAATTATGAATGCATTTAGTCTTGGTCTCAACAGCATCTCTACTGGACAATGATGTACCCTTAAAGCTGCTCCTTCCAGATAATAATATAAGCGCTAATACCTGCAAGTGATTGAAGCCTAACCAAGAAGATGTTTTATTTTGTATTCCAGGTGTCTCGTCGCTTGTGCTCCATCTTGTGTTCCTCTCAGACTCTTGTTCCATCAGAGAAGAGTGAAAAGGGATTTACGTTCGTGTGAGTAGCTCATAAGAAACTAGGATTTATCTTCCTTAAACATTAGTCATTTTTGGGGTAAGGGAAATATGTGGTGTTAGTTTGAGATAATATTCAGTTGATTCTCAATTGTGTGTCAAGGTTGGAAACAGAACTCCTGAGAATAATTAGTTTTTGTAGGTAATTGATGTTATGTATTGGCTTTTTAAAATCAGGTGAACTCTCAATACAAAATAAAGTATATTATTAGTTAATGTACCTCACAATGCTCCTTGTCCAGCACCGAGATGATCTTCGGAGTACACCTGGAAAGTATATTGTGTCATCCAAATTGTGTTATTTGGTTTATAATACACAGGAAATACTATTATACTTAACAGTGTACTGTACCAGGTTTGGCAGCTTGGCTAATAATGAGACCCAGAAGCTGATGTATTGTTGAAGCTTTCACACAAGATAATGGGTCACATGAAGGGTTCATTGTTGACAGGATACTGTTTTTGAAACTGTGCATATGTGTGTGTGTGTGTGTGTGCATGCATGCTTGCATACATGTGTGTATGTGTAACCTGGCTAACATATGTATGGTAACTTGGGATGAGCAACAATGAAAATCAGGTTATACCCTTGATTTTAGATTGAATGTTTGAAGATAATCAGGAGACATAATGATTGAGGACAAGTTATAGGTCAAATGTAAATAGATACTTGGGAGTGTTTACCAGCCTAGGCTGTGTGATGGATTTATGATTGATCACACACTACCACTGGTCACATCCAGAGACTGTTTAGTTTTCTCTCACTTGCCCCCACAAATCCCTCAAGGATTTATGAAACCTTCATATTTATCCCTTACTATTGTTTGGGCAATGTTGTCACTACTGCTACTATTGTTTTGTTTTTTAAGTTGTTACAATGAAATTTTATGAAAGATTATGCAGTCATGCTCAATATTTATATCTGAATCATCATTACAGAGAGCAGTTGGACGATGCTGTTGCTACTCGTCTTTTTACATTATTGGAGCGATACCATTCAGCAACAGAAGCTGTGGCATACCCACTTCCTCAAGGATATAATTCTTTCTTTGCTTACTTGGCACATCGCTGTCTGCCGCACATTATATTTATGCAATATGTACGGCGTGGGGTTCTGCAACTGAATGTGGATGTTTTAAGAGAAATTATATATGGTAAGAAGATAGCTATATTAAAGCATTTTTATTTTATTTTTTTTTTTACAGTTAAAAAATGCAAGGATAGATCAGATCAAGTGTCATGATAATATAAATTTTTGGATACTACCTATAGTGTATGTTCCTTTTAATATAGATAAAGGATGACTTTCTTAGAGGAAAATTATTGATTGTTAAAATGCATTGTACAGAATTTGAAAATAGATTATTACTTTCGTATTATTGAAGTTTTAGAATTCCAAGATACATCTATGTTTTTTAACTTTTTTGTATTCGAGTATTTTTATAGAAAAAAAATTAATACTTGAGTCATTAATTCCCTCCTACCTCATCATTCCTCTCCTGTCAGACCTGGATGACACTCCTAAGAACGTGGAGAGAAAGTTAGAGATAATATCGTCGGTGCCTGTCGTCAGGAGCCTCCGAGCTCTGCAGTTCTGGCAACACCCGATGTCCCTGATCCTGCGGTCAAGGCTACACGCCGGCTCCATCCTGGCCGGGGAGGGACCAGGTCAACCTCGGACACCAACACAGTCTGCCAGGATTAACGCTCAACACCTTCAGAATAAAGGTAAAGCTGATGTGTTATAATTATGAATGACTTGATCTTTAGTATTTATTGGTTTAGTTATCTGCCACAGGGGGAATCTTTGCCTTGCTTTATCCTCTTTGCTATCTTGTGTGTCTGCATACTATTACTTCCATTTGTAGGTTGGGGAACTCAAGGAGGAATAAAGGGAACCAGAATATTGTTGATTTTATTCATTACAATGTACATATTGTGAATTATTTTAGCAATACTTTCAGTGATAATGGTACAGTATCAGAAAGTATTTATTGCAGTGTACCATGATAAACTTATGATAAGTAGATTGGCAATTAATTATTACTTTGATTGCTTATATTGTACAACTTGTCTTTTTCACAGGATTAACTGCTTTTCCAACAACTGACCGACTCTCTCCCTTTGACACATTTTTGGATTTGTTGACTGCCAAGGGTGAGTAATTTTTAGTGTGTTTAATGTCATTTGTAAGTAAATGAAATAACTACTGTACTGGAATCACTTCAAGTTGAAACACCCTTGGCTTATTTCACTTAGAAGATTAACCATCCTAATGCTACCTCTGGGGGGGTGGTCAGGTTAGGTTAGAGTAGGTTAAGTTAAGTAAGGTGAGCATATTCAGTTGTTTAATAATCAGGTAAAATAAGCTGGGGGTACTGATCTTGATTTGATCCAATATAGATAGAAACAAATATCAAAGAAGTTTTGACCAAAGAACAGGTTATAAAAGGACATTACCTTTTCATAGTGGTTCTGTAGCACACTTAGGCTACAGAACATACCACCTACAGTCACCTGAATATTCACTAATTTATCATGTTCTTTACTTCTGATTTTATTTAATTTTTTTCCAGCTAACTTGACAGACCTTGACCTGGGGCTGCTGTATGAAGGCACTGTGGCTTCCTGTGAGTACATCAAGCCAGAGATTGAGGTTGATGTAGCTATAACAAGGAATTGAGATGTTCATGTGTTCATTGCAGTATAACACCTTCCTTCATGTCATTCATTGAACCATGAATTGATTATTTTCCATTACATTACAGTAAATATTATTTGAATTATCTGTACTGAATATATGAAGTATTGCCTATAAGAAGGATGACCGGGCGAAACAATAGTTTCAAGAAAAACTTGATGAAATGGTTTTTTTCTATTCTTGTCCATAATTCACGCAAATTTTTATAAAATGTAAGGTTTTGGGCCTCATTTTGTAGTGTTTAAGTAATACTTCATGACTATGCATGAGAAAAATGTATAACATTCCAAAATAATGCCTGACTGCTAATGGTAATAACTACCTGTCCTATTAAGAATTAATAAAATATTTTGAGATAATTATATACTGTATAGGGTGTAGCATTTACTGTATATCTGACACATTATTAGTGATATAAAAAGTAAATGAACAACGTAAATGCTATGTAAAGTACAGGGATCCAAGATTATGCTGTGACATAATACAATTTATTTCTTAAAAATTACATCCAACAAAGGGGCCCCAACCTTAAGAAGCCCCATTCTAACCTAACTTAACCTTTATGGCTTGGCCCCATTTTGACTGGGCTCAGATTTATACTTATACAATTAGAATAGGGTAGGTTGAGGTCTCTCAGAATTAGGACCCAGCTGGCCACTCTCCATTGCTTTGCTGAAAGAAATCGATACAGAGTGGCCACAGGTAAATCATTTCACCATTTCTTAACTTATTTTTCATTCTGTGTATAGGTACTGAAAAGTGTAATACATTAAGTGGCAACCCTTTCATAGTATTAAATGTAGTGTCATTTGTTGTATCCCTTTGAGTGCTCTCATAAAAACTGTATGTTTGTTTTTCTTTTACTCACCTTTAAACAGGTTTGTGTTCTTGTACAATGCTCAGTGTCAAATTGTAATGTTTCTTATATGTAGGTCATTATAAACACTTAAATGTTTCACCACATGTTTTGTTGATTACTGTATATAGGTTACATAAATTACTTTGTTTGATGTTTATCTGGATTTCTTTAGCTTTCGTTTCTCTTGTGTTACGGAAGAAATCCGCTTAAAGTCAACGAATATACCTGTATCAGTGTTTTTTATTATGTTGCTGATTCATTTGGGACACGTATTTTCCAGTTTCTTGTAAGCCATATTATTCCCAGTGTTGTCAGTCCCTTTGTACATTATTATTGCAGTGGTTACTTGATGTCACATATTGTATGTTAACTTCATCATTACTCCCAGATATAGTAACTCCATTGAAGATTATTATTGTAATTATTTTTACCTGTGCCAATACAGTAGCTGCTATACATATATATCCCGGCTTGGTCATGTGATAAGGAAGGAGTTAAACCTTTCATGTGTGAGCATATACTACTACACAATTGTAGTCTTTGTGCGTTATTTTGCTTATTAAGTGCAGGTAATGTGCAGCACAATTATTTCTTGCAGTCAGATTTTCCCTTTGGATGCTCTTCTGAATATAAACGTCTTGCTGTTTTGGAAACCATGCTAAGCTGCAATATGTTATTATAGAAAGAAAAATACTCAGTATAAAAATAAAAACTAGATGAGGAACATGTTAAATTGAGATTTAAAGTGTGTTTGATGACCAACAGAGTCTATGAGCAGTGATGCAGTATGTAGAGAAACTTACAACACCCAGGAAGAGACTTAGACATAAGAATGAGACTATCAGTGTAATCATTATGCAGTACAGTGGTGTGTAGCAAAGGAATTTCACATGTATTTATAAATAATGAGTATTTAATAGGGAGGATTTACATTAATTGAGTACTAGTATACAGAACTTAGCTGCTTATAGAAAGAATCAGAGTCAGTATAAATGGGTGTTTTACCTGAAAAAAGATAATAAAGTATATACTGTACTGTAGTACTTTACCATGTTACCATTAGAGAAAGAATTATAGTTTGTGTTTGTTTCCAATAGTCTACAGTTCATTTATGTTACATTTGTTATAAGTTTTAACAAATATATTTTTCTACTTTTGTATTTGTTTATGGTATTTAATTTTTTTATGGTATATACTGTATATTGTGTTCAGATTTTTTTAATTGAAAGAGAATTTATCAATGTGCCAAATGTAGCATTTATTTTAGTATATTGCAGGATTTGTTTTTCTGGTCACTTGGGAAAATACTAACCTAAATTAAGCTTTAAAACAATATTATACTAAAATTGAACTCCTGAGATGATTCCTTAATGTTTTATTTTATTTGATGTTCCCAGTTTACTGTATAATAATTTTTGGAAATCTTGTATATCAGAGCTTGTCAATAAAATGATGTTTCATAAATTCTTTTAAATATCTTATACAGTACTGTACTATATTCAGTCCCTTTGATAAAACTAATCAAGCTCTCTTTGCTCCCACTCTACACCAGACTGCCTAATGAGATGGCAAGATTCTTAGAGGTTCTTGGGTTAAAGATGCTCTGAAACTGATACAATAATACTCAAAATGATCAGTAGTAGTTTGGGCAAAATCTTAGGTTTTCTCTTGTAGCGGAATGCTGACAATCTTGAAATCTTTCCTGAAGTTCATTCAAAAGCTCATCTGGGATAGGAAGAGCAGAACTAACTTGGTAATAGTCTTCAAAAGAGGATGCTGGGACATTAGGTCTTTGCTGCTGTCTTTGTGCATTTCTTGGGCAGTTAATATCAGTGTTAGCTATCTTCTGACTGATGGATTGGGCCTTTGTGAACTACTTATTGAATTCCTCATCAACATTTTACCTTATTTCTCCCATTTTTCTTGAGTGCCTTGAATTAATGAGGTGGCATTGTAGGCATCAACTTCTGAATTCTGGTGTTAACAGTCAGCGTTCGTAGAATTATATGAAAGGCCCGTTCAAATAACTTTTTATATATTTTTATAATTCTAACTGATTGGCAACTGCCACCACAATCTCGTTATATTCTGAATCCTGTCGACCCAGGTCATTGCTGAGTTAGGTCGACTGTCTTTTCATGTTTTTGTTTGTATTGCTGAGGGCGGCATGACTGATCTATGCAAATTTATTAATAGTGCACAAATTAACAGGTCTTACGATTGCCATGATAATGTGTGCATATGCATTGGGTAGAAATAACGATATCACGATAAAGTTCATATACCAGTATACTAGAAATATAAATTATAAACGAGGACAAAATATGTCGATATAAACTACCTTTCTAGTGACATTAGGCAAATTAATTAATACCAGAAATCATAAAAAGGGAAGCCTTTGAATTATCCCCCCCCCTCCACACATTTAGCATAAGAGTGTATGATCATCAATTAAACAAAAGGCATTCCTCATCTTTGTGAGATCTACTGTAATATAGTTTATGTAGCCAGTTGTCTAATTTCTCTTTGTGTGTGCCAATTCTCTTTGTTATGGCCACATACAGTAGGCTCTCACCAATAACGTTTAATAGGTGCCTGAAAAACACCGTTATTAGCGAAAACGTTATTTGTGTGACATTAAAATACATGTTAAAAGGGTTTGTTGGTGCTGCCGCCACAAGAATTTCACCCATTTTTTCCCCTTGAAGCCCTCCTAACACTTTTTGTTAGCTGAAATAAAAAGAATTGTTATTCAATCATCAAAATAAAGAGTGAGTATTATAACACTTTGCTTGGGGGAGTTTTTGAGGTGCTTGGTGTGATGATTGTTCCATATCTGAGGGTCACTAACACTTGCACTGTCTTTCATTCTACAAGCTAACCATTTCACAAGAAAATGCTCTGTTATCACTAACAACCTGTTTCTATCGCCTTTATCATTCATAGCTCGCCTCGCATTTCCATCACTACCGAATTATTTTTAGCCAGCACAATACTCTTCTTGGTCTCCTCTAAGTTCCTCGTTATATTTCGCACTGTAGACTCAGGACAGTTCAATTTCCTCACTTTAAAAGTTCCCTGTCATTCAGGTGGCAAATCACTCCCTCCACCACCTCCCCTAGCCCCCACAGGCAAAAATGCAGAAGCCATTCTTGATCACCGACCCTAAGAACCACTGGTTATAGTGGCGAAAATCTCACACGTGGGCGCAGCGCTGTATTCCACTGAGCGTGTGTGAGAGTGAGGCGGAGTGGACAACTACGTCATCAACATGGCGGCAAACAAACGCTATCATTGATGCGCTTGGACGCTTCCCGCGAAATTTCCGTTATTCAAGAGAATCCAGACGTTATTATCGAAAATGGGTATCTATTGTAACTTACCGTTATTGTCGAAAACGTTATTGTGGACGTCGTTATTGGCGAGAGCCTACTGTACACACGTAAAATAAGGGAGATCTTGCTCTTAGGATGGAGGTGAGAAAGGAAACTCATAATGGCGTTTCCTTTATATATATATACAGTGTTATATGTACAGAGCAGTCAGGTGCTGGGAAGTTGTTGTGGAGGAGTTCTTTAGAGAAGGTCTTCTCTGCTTAAGAGGTGAAGGCGGCAACTGGCCAATCACCACGCAGTTCGAAAGTGAGGGCTGATTTGTGGAACTCGCCGCTGGTTGGCTGAGGAGCGGATGGGAAGTGACCAATCAGCAGTTGTAGGGGAGAGTATCTTTTTACTTTACTTTTATCCTCTTCACCACTGATCGGCTCGTTAGCCGCTTGGGCTATCGGTCACGTCTCTGTCACACACTGTTGGCAAGTACTAGGCATGTACTGGCTCTCTGTTATGCACTGTTGGCAGGTACTGGGCATGCACCAGCTCCTGAATGTACCTGAACCTGCTCCAGTGTTGGTCAAGTCTGGTCTTGAAAAACTCACACTCGGTGCCGTCACAACACTTTCTGGTAGATTGTTCCAAGAGTTCACAACTCTCACGCCGAAAAAGTTTGCCGTCACAGTTTTCTGGACTTGCGGCTTCTTCAATCTTGAGCTGTAACCCCTTGTGGGGCGAGCGTCCTCCAGCTCCAAGTAAGGACACTCGACTGAGTAGCTCCCCGTGAGATGCTTATACACCTCAATTAAGTCACCCCTTGCCCGTCTGTAGCAGAAGCTAGGCGAGGTCAGGCGCTCCAATCTCTCAGGATAGTTGAGGTGCCGAAGTGCAGGCACCAGTCTGGTGGCCCTCCTTTGAACATTTTCAACCAACTGACAGTCCCTAGCATATTTCGGGGACCAGACGGGGTGATAGGACTCCAGATGGGGAAGCACTTCACTCTTGAAGATCGTTACGAGGGACGGACCGTCTGGATATCTGAACGACCTTCTTATAAGTCCTAATAATTTATTTGCCTGATTTACCTTCTTCTCACACAGGCCCGAGAACTTCAGCTCATTGTCAACATACACACCTAGGTCCTTCTCACATTGTCTCAATTAATGCAGTTTCTTCATCCCGTTGGGACATATGAATGCTTCCTTACCATTGGTACACCCCAGGTGCATCCTCTTACACTTTGTGACATTGAATCTCAGCAGCCATTTCTTTGACCATTCTTGGAGCTCACAGAGATCCTTCTGCAGCTCTTCACAGTCTGCTTGGTTCTTGATTTCCCGAAATAACTTGGTGTCATCGGCAAACATTTGTATGGAGGAGTGTACAACGTCAGGCATGTCATTTATGAAACAAACAAACAACAGCGGGCCCAATACACGGCCCTGTGGTACCCCGCTTGTGACAGGTACAGATGATGATTTCGTGCCATTAATCACCACACACTGCTTGCGGTCATGTAGAAAGTCTTCTATCCACACTGGGACATTTCCCCAAATCCCATACCCTTCCAGTTTAATTTTCAGCCTTTCGTGGGGTACACTGTCGAAAGTTTTGGCAAAATCTAGGTATGTATTATCGATATTACCACCCCATTCTAGAATATGAGTCTAAATATCCAATACCTTGAGCAATTGTGTTAAGCAGGAGCGCACCAGCATAAAATCGTATTGGCAATCCTTTACAAGGTTGTTTCATAGTAGATGTTCCATCGCGGCATCTCTGATAATACTCTCAAGTACTTTACATATTATGCTGGTCAGGCTCACCGGTCTATAGTTGTTCGTGGAGTGACGATCGCCCTTCTTGAAGATAGGACTCACATAAGCCACTTTCCATTCACTGGGGACCTTTTGTTCATACAGGCATTTACAGAACAGGATTTTTCAGAGGCTCGGCAAGCTCGTTGCACAACTTTCTTAGCACTCTGGGATGCACCATGTCAGAGCCGGGACTCTTATGGACCTTTAGCTTTGACAGTTTATATCTAATACCCTCTTCTGTGAACACAATGTGGGTCAGTGCTGTGTCGAACAGTCTGTCCTCAAACACAGGAAGGCCAATTGCATCCTCTCTCGTGAACACCGAGGAAAAGAAGCTGTTTAATGCCTCAGCTTTATCCCGGTCAGAATCTGCGTAACTACTATCTTCAATCCACAGGTCTGATACTCCTACTGGCGTTTTAAATTTCGACTTTGCATAGCGGTTAAATGCCTTTGGGTTGATTTGACCTCGCTTGCAATCAGCCTCTGGAACTCCTTTTCAGCCCTTTTACACTCTGCCTTTGCTTGGTTTCTGGCTCTTGCATACATCCTCCTGTCCTGCTCATCGCTTGACCCAATCCACGTCTTGAATTTCTGGGTTTTCTTCTTAACTTTGTCGACCGCCCTTGTTTTCCCACATCTTTCAGTTTTGAGGCTACTGGCTCACTTTTAAATAATTATTTTAAGATACGTATTATAATAGGACGGCAGCCATATTCTAAAGGTCCAGTAGCTTTGCTGACCTTGAAAGTTGACAGTCACTCTGTTAGTCCCTCGCATCTGCTGTTCATGACTGATGTTACAGTCTGGTGTATAAATTCTCAGATGTTTCACAAACAAAACACCTGCTAAGTTTAAGTTAATACAAATTTATTCAAATATATTACTAATAAGATACTGGCATATCAAAGAAAAATTACACTATGTTTCATACCTGAAGTAAAAGAAATAAGACGGACTTCATAATACGTGTTTGAATGAGCTTTTGTGACCAACTGTATCCTTGTAGTGGAAACCTCCCCTACAACCGCCGTTTGTCGCTGACTAGCCGACCCTCTTTGAATTCCTCAGCCTGCGCCTCGTGGTCTAGGTCAGCAACGAGCGCCAAGTCAACTATCAACCCACGCCTATCCCCGCTATATAAGACCTCACCCCGCCGTGACCTCCCTCTTTCTTCTAGCTCAGCTGCAGCAAGCAACACCTCCTCTGCTCCTGCCTGGTGGCTCCCGCTCCCTCCGGCGACTATGGCGCCCCACAAGCTGCGTGTCCTCCTCTGAGCACCCTCACCAACCAGCTCTCTCTACACCACGCTTGGACCCACGCTGCCACTTCCCAGCACCAAGCTGCATTGTACATCCAATACAATATGTATACAGAGAGCACATTGTGAGTTTCCTTTCTCTAACCCATCCTGTGTATGAACCAATATCTCATAACCCCACATCCTCAGGAGAGTCGGGATGATGACTCAATAGGACTTCCTGTCTGTGTTAATCTTGTTAACTTAACACATGAAATATTTAAGTTATGGGGATGATATTGAGTAACTAAATAAGTAGCTTACAAACCCGTTCCCCCTTTTTTTTAAATCTTTTGTGCCTCTGTAGAAAAAGCTTTATGAAATTATAACACAAGTAAGATTTATTGTATAATATTATACTTAGATATTTATCTTTAGGAGGTACAGAGAACATGACAGTGTACCTATTTCTTAATTTCATTAGAGAAATAAGTGAGAAAAGTTACCCCAGACATACCTCAGCCCACAAATACTGAATATAGATTCGTGTGCCAATAAACTGATTTGTATATATTCTCGTGCAAATTTGTGCTGGCCTGTCTCTCCCTCACCATGATGCCGTGCAAGCTTCCTGTCTCTATGTTCAAATTAAAAAATATAAAGCATGTGTTGTGTCAATATAACAAAGGATAGACAAAGAAATGTGTTAAAAGTTTATATTTAATAGGTTCCACATTTCTCAGTGTCATCATTGAAAAGTTGTGTAACTCGAGAGTGAACGAGTCCAGTTTGTGATGGTCGAAGATTGCTGCACATACAGCGCTGAAAAAACGGTGAAAGGTTAACGCGGTACTTTCAATGAATTCAGACTCCTTAACATTTAAGCTTAGATTCACACGTCATTGAATAGGAATAAATATCTGTACTAGTGAATTTTAAGGATATTTTATGAAACATATAATGTAGTGAATAAACATTAATATATCATCTTACTACATAAACTGGTTAAGTATTCAGAGTAACTCAATCTTTACGACGTTTTACTATATGAAGAACAACGATAATGCCAACCACAAATAAAATTGGCTTTGTCCATTTTTATTTACTCTAGAGTCATTTAAAATAGAATATAATGTTGTACTTCTGGAGAGTCCATCCTCATCACTGTTCGTGATAATTACATGGCTGACATTCCAAACTGATATTCTGTATCGCATTTAGATAAATCTTCTGTTTTAGATTATTTAAGTACTTGAGTGTTGTAAATACTTTACCATTTTGTTGTTTTACATAAAAAAATAGTTACTTTTCGAAAGATTATGTCAATATTGTGGATGTAGCCAGGTGAGCATTGTTTATCCTGGAATAAAAATATTCACATGTTGAGCCAAGTGTCAGGAACTAGGTCAAGTTGCCAGATGTATGACTGCTAGCGGGACGCAATGATTAATGTTAAAATATATTTACGACAAAAATCATTCCTAATGCATATATTACATAACGGCGTGATAAAAATAAAAATTAAATTATTTTATTTTCTTTTTAGATTTTTAAAAAGGGTTGTAGATATAAAATGAAAATAAGAAAATAAAGTTCTAGTTCTATTCGTGGTACATATTTAACATGAAGCAACTTATTGTCTGTAATATTTATTATGGTTGGGACATCAAACTCCAGCTGGTTGTTACCGTCAGTCACAGCTTAAAATGTCTAAGGTGTGTGGTACTGGCATGAGCCTCTCTTAAATTGACATATTGTTGAGCATAACACGTAAATAAGAAACCTGTGAGTAACATGTTGACAGAAGCACGTGATCGAGTGAGTGAGTGATAGCACCAGAGAAGTAATATTGCTCCACAAGTTTTATGGCAGAATTTGACTTAAATATTTTTACAATCGGAATCTTTTTTCATAATTCTGTGGGAGGAACTACAGAAGGAGTTCTTTGATTTTGTTCGTTTTTTCCACTTATGTTCTTTGGATCACAGTAAGTAATAAATACGACATGACAAATTGTTATTTTAATTTAATTGTTATTTAAATATTTTTAAAATCATAAATCGCCTGTAGTGGGTAGGACGTGAAGGGTAGGGGAAATTGCTTGGTAAAATACAGTGAAAAACTGATTATATGATGTTGAAATGATGTCTTTATTTGCTTTGTATGCAAAGAAATGAATTATTTACCATAAAAAAATAAAAAAATAAAATTACACTGATTCTTCAAGAAAGTTGCTTTCATTGGTACCAGATGTAACAATAAGTACTGTACTTTCTGTTTAATTTGGCAGGGGGTCCTTGGCTAGGAAGTTAGGTAAGATAGGTTTCTTGGCTAGGAAGTTAGGTAAGATAGGTTTCTTTCCTTGGCTTGGTCAGGTTTTATTTAGGTTATATTAAATTTCACCTCTTTAAAATACTTGTCATTATGATAAGAACATCTGTGGAAAAAATGAACGAAATTGAACGTGTTCTGGTGTTAGCCATCTGCTCCAGGAATACCCAACCAAATTGTAATTTCAGATTAGCTTATTAATTATGATAGTTTATTTTACCCATTTTAAAACAGGTAAAATAGTTTTACAATTTTGTTATTACCTAACTTGTTCATGTACACTAAAATTAACTACAGTATGTATTGTAGAAACTTTTTGTAGCTACCTGGTATGGAAGAAAAGTTGCTTGCCTTAAGATTAGTCCATATTTACCTCAGAATCTGCAGTTAACATGTTTTAATTTTATGTGATAGTCTTCTTGAGACTTTAAGCTCACTTTTTTCTAAAAGAGAATAAATGAACTACCGTAATACAAGCTTACCGGGTAACTAAGTTATTAAAATATTTAACTAAGGTCGTTAGGTTTGGTTGGGCTATCTGTACAGTATTTATATATGCTGCTAATGGTATGTTTTTTGTTTACCCTGTATATTTAAGAAGTAAGAGTTTGGAAAGTAATAATGAAATACAGTATTGAAGACAACCCTAATTATATTAACTGAAAGGGACTACCAGTATACACTTATACATGTTATGATATAATGTACTGGGAAAGATCTTGTTCACTGGCAACTCTGCCTAAACAACAGTTGTTCAACCATTAAGAACATAAGAACATAACATAAGAATGGAGGAAACTGCAGCGGGCCTATTGGCCCATACTGGGCAGTCCCATTTACACCCAACCCCTATTGCTCATATATCCATCCAACCATTGCAGTGGTACGTACAGTATATCATCACTGTTTACGACCATTTCTCATACATGTGTGGGTGTGCCGTGATTACCTGATAGCATGGTAACCCAGTTGCCATCAGGTAAATATGAACCAAATTTTATGTCTGGATGTCCTTACCCACCAGTTGACTTTGACACAGTGCCTGAGGAAGAGCACAGAAAACCAATACAGTATATTGTATTGTACAATACTTTATATGAATTGCAATTTCTGGGGGTAGATGTGAGTTATTTGCTAGGTAAGGAACATCTTTTCTTCCACAAACAATTGCTAATTTACCTTATTTACCTAATGGTCACCCACTATAGGTAACATCCACAATTTTGGCCAAAAGCCAGAGTTTAAGATTTTTATATGATGGAACTTGATAAGCGGAACCATGTACTGTACTGTATCTTTAGTACTGTACGTACCTGTATTATAATTTTTATTAACTTGTAATTCATTACAGCTAAAAATTGTGGAAAATAGAATTCATAAAACTTGGTAGACATGTTATAAAAGAGTAAATCTTAAACATATATGTACAGTACCGGTAAATAGTGAAAATTACTATTTTTTGGCTAATGTAGTGATGGACCAATTACTCTACTCCCTTCAGGTACAACCGTGCTGATAGTATTCCAGTATACAAATGAGTAGAGATTTTTTTAATAACTTTTGCCCATTGTGGAAGTATTTTCACCTGTGCTCATTATCATCACTCTTTATAATCATTATTATGAATCAATAATTATCAATCATCATCAGTCATTATCAATTATCATCAATCATCATCAGTCATTATCAATTATTATCAATCATCATCACTCATCAATCATTATCAGTCATCATCATCATCATTAATCAACATCAGTCATCATCATCAATCATTATCAATCATCATCTTTATCATCATCAGTTTTCATCACCAATCTTTATCATTAATCATTATTATGATCATCATCATTATCAATCATTATTATTATCATCATCTTCAGTCATCATCATCAATCATCATCATTAATCATCATCATCAATCATCATCATCAATCATTATCAGTTATCATCATCAGTTATTATCAATCATCATCCACATCATCATCATCAATTATTGTCATCATCATCTTCATCATGCACAAAAAGCTATACCTGTACTGTACCATTTTCTTCTTCAGGTGTGCACAGAACAGAAAATGCAGAGATGACACACAGGAGGATAGATTTAAGATCATCTAGTAAGTACTGTATAATACAGTAGTGGCTGAAATTTTGTACTGTGAAAATTATTCAGTGCAACTCAATGTAATCTATGCTAACCTAACCTAATCTCACCAAACCTAATCGTACCTAACCTAATCTAATCAAATCTTACTTCACCTCACCTTACTATACTTAATCCAATCTATCCTTAACCTAACCATACAAAATCTCACTTCACCTTGCCTAATCTACTCCAACCTAAAATACTAATAATCTAACATACCCTCACCTCACCTAATACAATCTACCTGTAATCTAACTTAACTTCACGTCTCCTAACTTTACCTAATCTGTATGTATGTCTATTTAATTAAGCAAGAACTGTTAAATCAAATGACAGTACAATACGAAACAAGTAACCTCAACTCAGGAAGACTAAGCAGGAACTGTTAAATCAAGTTAGTAATCAAGTAACTCTGCTTAGAAAAGATTTGATAAACTTGTATCTCCACTCATCTCTGGAATATCATTAAACCCAAGCCCAGTACAGGTGGCTGTGCATAGCTGTCACCTGCAAAGTGTGAACAGGTGTTAGGGCTCTTGACTCCTAGAATCTCTCTCTCTCTCTACCTCTCTGTACCAGGCATCTATTTTTTCATCTCTCTCTTTGTTTTTTACTTGTATATTGTCTATACAGTATCTATGTTTTGTCTGTATACATTTTTTATTTATGTATATCTGAATTCGTGGCTCCTCCGTCCTTGTGGAATGTGGTACAGTACCCTACCTGGTAATTCGTTTTTATTTGACAGTTGTTTTATAACCTCAAGTTTACAGTGTAATGTATAGTCTAATTTACTGTGTAATTTCAGTGGGTGAGATTTAGGTGGAGTGCATGATGGCCAGGCCTGACCTTTCTAATTCCCTATTTACCCTCAGCATTTTGATAAGATATTTTGGTTTTGTTTATAAAATTGAATAATGAAAAACTGCATCGCTCTCTAAAGGTTATGTAAGCTATGCCTAGTGCAAATATGATAATCTAGTTTGTTGTGAAGTTCATTATCTGGTGAACATACATGATAGAGCGTACAAAATGTCTCTGGGAGGATGATATGATAAGGTGTGACATCACCTTGACACTTGTGTTCACATCAGTACCTACTGTGAGGAAGGATCTTGGTCTCTAGTGGGAGAGATTTCACTATTTAAGTCAATTAAAAGGCAAGGCATTAAATCTTTATATTATTATATGTACAGTACAATACTTTAATGCTACACATCATATGGGAATTTGTATATTCATCAGTAGGACTTCTGTCTTTGTGCCACTATCTGCGATTGTGAAATTGAGACCTTTTTATATGTTGTTGTGATGTTTATTGTTCATGTTGATGTATACTGTAGTGTACCATGGTGATGTGTGTGTTGAAGCAGATAGTACAGGATCTCGATATTGTTTTGATTGTATAGTGGAAGTAATGACATTGTGGCTTGGATGCCATCAGGTAAATATGAACTAAGTATTGTGTCTGTATGGGATCACTTCCTATCACTTTGACAGAGCATCTTCTTAGTTGGCAAGGCAGGATCGCCATTCCCTCAGGTAATCAAAGATTGCTCGTTCATTTAATAAGTATATTTGTTAGGAGATAGCACACACATGTGCTCTTACACACTTGTGCACACAAATGTACACACATGTACACATATACACATACATGTACACACATACATGTACACACACCTATACATGTACACCCATACAGACACACACACACACACACACACACACACACACACACACACACACACACACACACACACACACACACACACACACACACACACACACACACACCTGTACATCTATTCATGGTATAGAACAAGTGTGCTCCACATTCAAGGTTCAGTGTAGATTGTGCGAGAGGTGTGTGAATATTTATTGATCTTGGAGATTTTGTAATACAATACTGCAGTTTTTGAAAACACTGTATCTAGTATGTGATGAATACTACATATATATTATATGGCTAATTTCCACAACATCTTGTAACATTTACTGTAAAATGAACATGGGAAAGAACCAGCTGTGTGTTAAGTGAGAGAAACAAGTACTGTATACAGTATATACTGAACTGGTAATAATGTTACTGTACATTACTTAGTGGAAATCAGTTTTTTATTTATCTTTTCACACAGGGGAGTAAATGGCCTGTTTGTCAAGCTGGTAGTACACTAATATTGTATGTTCGACCAATAGGCTCAGTGTCCATGAGTTATAATGTCGTGTTATTTATAAAAATAGAAGCGCTGAGTTAGTTGAATGGACTCATGTGATTTTTATGTAGCACAGTAATGCAATATATTTACTTTTAAGTCTTGAATTGTAGATTCTCTGTATTTTATAATGCTGCCAACTTAACCACAGCAGTAGATGATAAGCAATAGTCATATTACTGTACTATATAAACTTAGATGTTGAAGGAGGGTACAGTTCATGAAAAGACACGAAGACTGTCGTGCAGATCATCTTGGTATGTTTTTCTGACTGATGAGAGTAAATATTTTGAAATAGTCTTCTCTCTGTTGGAGTACCTTGTGATTCTGTTTAGATAATTCTATTTTTGCTGTATTTAGTCTTTTTGTGCTGTTTTTCTTTGTATGCCCACTGAAAAAGATGGGTGTACATCAGCTAGGTATCATTGAACTACTTCTTGTCTGGAGCACAACAGAGGATGTTGTTGGTGCAGTGGCAGTGTGCTTTCTTCTCACTACTGCAACCTGGGTTCAGTTCCAAGTTAGGTTGGATGTGAAAAGATTGTTGCACTGTACTCTGGTTTCCTCTTGTACTAATGTGCAGGTTTTCTCTTTGTACTTTGGTTTCTTCTTTATACTTTGGTTTCTTCTTTATACTTTGGTTTCCTCTTTATATTTAGCCATTTGTAAGTTTTGCTTTGATCAGTGTGTCCTTGTACTTGTACGGTATACTTTTTGAGGTCATTCAGCCAATTGCTGAGGAGTCAGAATCAGTGATAATACTGTATATCACAGGTTTTAAGAATGAATAAAAGTTGGCAGATTATGTAGTTAGAACTGCAAAATCTTGCGTAATTCTTTAATGTATTATAAAACAAGTGTTCATCATCACAGATAGTCTTTTAGACCTTTGTGTACAGGCTCCCCTCTGTACTGAACAAAATTGTCTGGCGTTAGCCAAATAAAATATTAAAAGTGGTGTCCCCAGTGTGAAGGGGTTATTTTTGTATATACATACAGTAATCTCGCCGTTAGCCGAAATCCTAGGTCCCTGGAACTCTCCAACAGCTAGAATGGAAATCAGCGTGGATTTTTTTTTTTTTAATTCTCTCAATTCCAGATATGCGAACGAGTGTCTAGGGATGAAAATCAAGCACATTTTCTTGAAAAATTCAAAGAAAATCTCACCAAACCTTTCCGTTCTTGGGTTGATGCATTTTCCAGCCTCTCTGAGCCTAGCATCATGGCGCACTTGGTTCATGGTCCTCTGCCATTATGCAAGGTTGATCCCTTGCTCACTGCTGTTTTTGCATAAATTTGCATTCTGTAGTACTGTACATTACTGTACCAAGATACAAATAGCCAAGAATACAGTGTTAAAGTGGTGTTAAGACGAAAAAATAAGTTACAATTACATATACAGTACTTTACTGTAGTGCAGTACGTTCAGTAAGTGTGGAAGTACCATACCTGCATGTACATGAAAAGGGAAACACTGGAGCACCTTAGCTTTTGTCTTCATTCAAGACATTTTCAGGTCATGAGACTCACTAATCCCCCACCCTGACAATAGGTGACCTGACATTGCATCAGGTCAGTAACATGAGACCACTAATCCCTTCACCTCACCTCCACTGCAAATGAGAGAAGAGTTTATGTACAGTGGGTGACCTGACATTTCATCAGGACAGGTTAGTAACATGAGAACCATTAATCCTCAACCCTACTTCCATCGCAAGTTTTAAGATGTAAAAAGTGATTATGGTTATGCTGACTGTACAGTACTGTAGATTCAGCAGAGTGGACAGTGTATGCCTACTGTAGGCTCAAGATGACAGCATTTTCTGGTGAATACAGTATATATACAGTACATTAGTAGGGTACTTTATTTTGTTGATTTACAATATATTGTACATGTTAAGAGATGTTTGTGTATATAAATACAGCTCTGTGTGAGATGTGTAGTTTAGACTCAGAGGAAAACTTTCCCTAGTGCAGTACAGAGTGAAAATTTTCAGTCTTAGCTGTGATACACAGCTCCATTCACGCCTCGTACGCCTGTATCATGTAAATTTTTATATACAGTATTCCCGTATATTTGTTTATTTGAACAAACTTTTAGGTAAATTATTCAGGATTATTTTATTATAAAAAAGGTGTTTTCAACTTAATTAGAACTGACTTTATAGACTCTGGATTTTTTCCGGGTTTGACAGATTTGTCTCATTACCTGGAAATCTCTCATTCCATGGAAGAGCTCTGCTCCAATTATTCCAGGTAACGGGATGATTACTGTATACAGTCGGCCCTTAACATACGCGGGGGTTAGGTAACAGAGATACCCGTGAATGTTAAAAATCCGTGTACATTTGCTCTCCCCCCCCCCCCCAAAAAAAAACCCTGGCCCCCCATGTCCTTATTTACCATATATACTCGTGTGTAGGTCGAGTTTTTAAGACCAAATGATTTGGCAAAAAATTGGGGGTAGACCTCTAAACGGGTAATAGTTTCGTTAGGTTGAAAAATATTTACCAGTAACTACCAGTAAACAATGGAAACGACGCACCAACGCACCACCAGCTGTGAGTGTCGGTACAGTTGCCAGGGCAGATCTCTTGCGTCATCATAGCAAGCCCAAAGTAGCCAAATGCATGGTATGGTATGCACAGGATGATGTAAAACATAAAGTATTCATCTTTTAAAGTTTATTAATAGAAATACTGTACAGTTGTACCCCACTTAACGCGGTCAATAGAACCCAGAGGGTCCCGTGTTA